AAAGAATAAAACATGGGAAGTGGTCGAAAGACCGAAATCACGAAAAGTTATCGGGAATAGATTCGTGCTTCGAACTAAAGATGACGGAAAACAGAAAGTACGATTAGTAGCGAAGGGTTTTGCACAACGACCAGGTGAAGACTTTCATGATACGTTTTCTCCAGTCGCTCGTTCAACATCTATAAGACTACTTGCGGCACTGGCAGCAAAAATGGATTTGGAGATCCATCAGATGGATGTCATTACAGCATATCTAAATGGAGAGCTCGAAGAGAGTGTCTTCATGGAAATTCCCGATTATCTTATACCATTCCTGAACAAAGTTGTTTCATCAAAACCAGTGGGAAAAACTTCAACAATATTGTGTGGAAAAGTTAAAGAAACAGCGCAGCATTGGTTAAAGGCGATTAAATCAAGTAAGTCACCTGTATGTTTATTAAAGAAAGCTCTTTATGGACTCCGTCAGTCTGGGCTATCATGGTACATGAAATTGACAAAGAAACTACAGAATATGGGTCTAAGTGCAGTACAACAGGATCCTTGTGTATTCACTAAGCGAGAAGGCAACGACATTGTTTTGATGACAATATATGTAGATGATTTACTAATAGCGTCCAATAATAAGTTTCGTATAAAAGAAATAAAGGCTGCACTTGCGAATGATTTCGAAATGAAGGATTTGGGAATAGTAAGTAATTGTCTTGGCATCGAGTTTCATCAAAATTTAAGCAAGCATCAAGTTTTTCTTTCACAAGAGAAGTATGCAAAAAGCATCATTGAAAAGTTCAATATGAAAGACTGTAAACCAGTGAAGACTCCCATAGAATTGAACATTAAATTAACGAAACCAACAAAAATTGATGAAGGTGTTATGAAGATGTATCCCTATCAAAGCTTGATAGGAGCATTAATGTACTTAGCTGTTACAACTCGACCTGATATTGCGTTTGCTGTAAACTTTCTTAGCCAGTTCAATTCAAATTATAACGTGGAACATTGGAAAGCAGCAAAACGAATTCTAAGATACCTTAAAGGTACAAGCAACTATGGTCTATTGTATGAGAAAAACAATGAAGAATTGTATGGTCTGGTTGACGTTGATTGGGGCGCTGACTTAAACGATAGACGTTCATATTCAGGGTATGCGTTCATTATATCAGGAGCAGCGATATGTTGGGAAGCTCGAAAGCAACGTACAGTAGCGCTTTCAAGCACTGAATCAGAATATATGGCCATATCTGAGGCCACAAAAGAAGCGTTATATCTAAAGGCAATCCTTGATGATGTTGGCATTACAAGTAAAACAATTGAAATCTTTAATGATAATCAAAGCGCTCAAAAATTAACGGAAAGCTTCAGGTATCATCCACGGACAAAGCACATTGATATTCGTTATCACTTTATTCGCAGCAAGGTTAACGACGGCACTGTTAAAATCAAATATATGCCAACAGAAGAAATGCCCGCAGACGTCCTTACCAAAGGACTCACTACAGAAAAGCATGTTAATTGCTTACGGAAATTAGGAATGAAATATTAAAGTCATATTTTATACATAATAAAAGCACTTTAAGAGGGGGTGTTGTTATGTAAAGTACTTTTTAAATATTAATTGCCTGGCAACTCTGGCCTGTCATTATTCTATATTCCTTTTGTAATTATTATTCATTATTCATTTTTAGTATAGTTAATAAAGCGAAGTAAAGAACATGTTAAAAATACATCGGACCGTGTTTCACTTTTGCTAAAAATATATAATAGTATAGTTTTAATTTCATAAATCTTCAAACTATTTCTTTCTCCATTTTTAAGTAAAAAAAGTTCATTTCCTGCTCTTAAGTTTCCTTTTTATAAACAGTTAAAATAACAAATCATGATATTAGTTTTGACTCTGACAAAGCTTAGATACCCTTCAAACACTCTTCTTATATCGGCGCTATATTTAAATCTGAACCGATCTACTCTATTTTTATTGCATATATGGTGTGTTATAAAATATACTTCAATTTTAATTTTGAAGTGAATATATTGGAAAATAAAAAGTTTTTTATAAGAAAAATATGTGTCTGAATCGAAAGTTTATATAGCAACTGTGTCGATTTAAACCAATTTGCATAACATTTTATACGCTGTATAATAGAAACATAAGTACACTTTATATTATTATAAACCTTTATTAAAAACGTAGAAACTTTACATACGGTAGTTTAGTTTATTTGGGAGCTATAAGATATAATGGTCCAATTTTAATTAAATGAAATAGTGAACAAGGTCCAATACCGAGAAGTATGTGTGCAAAGTTTCATTCGAAGAGCTCAAAAACTGGGGAGTAGTTTGAACTGAAACAGGCAAACGGACTCATCTAAATGAACTTAACTCGTCGAGCTGGTCACTTGTATATATACATATATATATATATATACTAGAGTTCGTGTTTGCGTACCCTTGAGCGGATCATTTTGGCCTCATTCTGCTCACGGCTCATGAGCTGGCAAAAAACTTTTTTCATACGATGGCTCACGCTCACGAGCGAGCCCAACTACAGAACTCACGCTCACGAGCAAGAGCCGCCATTAAGTTATAAATGGGCTCACGCTCGTGAGCAAGAGTATTAGCTGAGGCTCATGAGATCTCATGCGCCCAATTTCAGATTTTATTATTATTTTTTTTGTGAAAAAATGTCATTAAAAAAGATATAGAGTATTAATAACTAACTATATTATGGAAATAATCAAAGTTCTTAAAAAAAACAATAAATATATTTGTATTGTTTATTTGTGGAAAATAATATTTATAAATTTGTTTTTCAAATTCATTATATTGTTTCATTATATTGTTTTATTATAAATAATAATAAGCTAAGTTAATTTCAAATTATATATTTTCACATATAACGTTTATAAAAATAAATAAAGCAAATAAACTAATAAATCACATTTTATTAAACAGTTGTGCTCGTGAGCTCTCGGTTCGTGAGACCTCATGAGCAGCTCTTCAATATGAGCAACTTGAAGGCTCACGCTGGTGAGCAGCTCTTCAATATGAGCCAATTTTGGGCTCACGCTCATGAGCCAACTTCGGACTCACATAAGAATTGGCTCTTGTTCATGAACCTGAGCTGCTCATGAGTGAGCAAATACGATCCCTGATATATACTCATATATACTTTATGGTGTCTTCGACAAAGTTAATATACCCTTTTAACAGAAAATTAAAAGATGTGTAAAAAGAAGTAAATAGAGGGCCCCGTAATTAAAATTTGCCTATGGGCCTAAAAATCTAGTTACGTCACTGATTCACAGTAACAATAACTTGCATTGAAGTAATAATGTATGTTAAACAACTTAGTGCTAACTTTCTTTAAGAATATGCATTTAAATATGAAGTTGAGTTAAATATTTTGATATTATATTCCATTTCACTATCGGTTTGCATAAATTATTGTTTATTTAATAAGCATGAATATGTTAACTTGTAAAGTCGATTCCAATTAAACAGTGTAAATGCTTATAGAATCCTTTTTAATCAAGATATTCGTATTATTTTAAACTTTGAAGGAATGTTCGTAAGGCTAAGTATTGATACATATAATAAATAATTTGTGGAATGGTTCACATACAATTGGACAATGAGTTATTGTTTACTGAAAATTACAAATACAAGGTCCGATGCATGGTTTTAATATATGAGCTTTGGATTATACGAATATATCCAAGCTTAATTTATTACTGGACTACTTCGTGGTAATATTTTTTTTGTAATATATTTTATATATAGCGGTTCGAACTTTCAATGTTCAAAGTTCAAATTTTGTATTAGCAGTTTTTTACTAATAGCTTATTAGGAGCCGATGGATGAACTGCCTTGAAAATGAGTTTCAGTAATTTCATGTTCTATTTATTTATATATTATATAATTTTTACTTTATATATTAATGCTTTCATCATGACTTACTTTACTTAATTATGGTGTCTATAATCATTCCAAATAAAATGTAAATTTTTAGAAACCTAATACAAACATGATAAATAGTTTTTCCATTTTATTTAGCTGTAAGTGGACTTGTTGTTGTTGTTGTTTTACTCTATTGTGGCTCTGGGGGGCTTATCCCTACCCCACACTAAACTTTAACTATACTGGAATCATTATCATTTATTTATTTTCTAACTGATGACGGACCGTAAATCAGCATATCTTCCTGAGGTGGACTTAATGAATGAATGAAATGAAATTTAAATTTGGGTAATGTGTTCTAGAATATAGAATCTAACCGTGCTTAATGATTAATTATCTGTCAATTCCTTTCATTCATTAATTCTATAACTTAATTTCGTTATTTTCGATATGATGAAACTCTACTTATAGCTGTTGTTACTCATTTGGTTATCGTTAGTTACTATCTTCCAGTCGCAGTTATGAATAATTTCTTGTTAAGTCCATTTGCTTAATATAGCTTTTAGTACAGCAGTAAATATTTTTTGAAAATTATTATTTCAACAAAACAAGGAATTTGTTCTTTGCTTCTTTGATGGTGATGATAATCTTTACATAACTCTATTTCATACTGCACACAATTTTACTGAAATTTTGATCGTGATCATGGCTCAAGTATGCGAAAATCAGAATTAAATTTTTTTTTTAAGTGTCAGGAACTGAAACTCGAACTTACCGTTACACTGAAAAAAAAATGGATTTAATGGAAATCCTTCTTTGCAATTATATAAAATTCTTTCATTAGATATTCACAGTTTTCTGAACATTAAATTGTCATTATCTTTATTGAAGTACTTGTATTACATCTATCATGTCAAATTGAACGCTAGTCCAGTCCAGTCCTTTTGTGGACAATGGAACAGACTCATGGAAGAAGGAATATATGGGAAGGTAAAACAAAGAAGTTTTGTTATGTATGCATAAGAAGGAGAGGTTATATATAAACTATTTGGACATATATTTTGCACTTCATGATAAATTTAAAACAATAAACACATTTAAGCACATATATTTTATTTCGTTTATTTAACGCAAAAAACACAAACAGCACATACATAAACATGTATTTATAAAACATTTTCAGTGTTACTGAATAGAATACATTTCAAAAGTCTGTATAGGGCAAATTTCCACCAACATGCAATTGCGTATTTAAAGGTGCATGACTGACTGCTGTTGGAGCTTTCTTCTGCCAACCTTGAGCCGAATTGTTGAAATTACTTCCATGCAGTATATTGGATGATGAAATATTTTGGGACGTACTTCTGCCAGATGTGTTATAATATTGATTAACTGGAGTTGCTGTTACCGGTGTGGAGTAATTTGGAGATAAGGGTGCACCCAATTTTGGAGAGATCGTACCAGATGCAACATGTCCAAATGGCTTAGGTGATATATTGCGAACAGCAGAGCTTCCAATTGTCAAATTTGACCTAGATAACCTGTTTCCTGTATAATTGTTATTAAAAGATGGTGGGCTTGTTGGACTATCAAATTTAGCCAATTTATCGTAAGGTAGAGGAGATGGGCTGAAATTTACTTGACGAATATTTTGCGGTGCAGTCATGCAATTATTTTGTACGCATGACTGTTCTTTTGGTATATTAGAAATTAAGGGACTATAAGTAGGAAGATTACAAACATTTTGTGAATGTGTAGGTTCGTTGTTACGAGAAAGCTCAGAAAACTGTGAACCAAGGAAGTTAGTTGATGGTTTCCATTCATGATTATAATTTGTCTTGATCGGTGAAGATGTTGGTGGTGGTGCATAGCTTTCTAGAGGTATATCCTTTGGCACATACAGCTCTGAAATGTTATAACGTAATTTATTTTTAATTATAAATATCTATAAAAAGGTAATATGTGTTAAGTATATAATTTAAAAGTTTTATTAATAGAATGTGAAGACATTGCTTGAAAAATATTCACTTATCCAATACTCTAACTCAGCATGCGATAATTGACAATATTAGTAATATATTTAGATGTAAAAATAATTTTTTGCATAATATTCACATGTATTTGTTAAAAAAGTTCTGCTATTAAAAAGATTAGAGTGTCTGGTTAAAAATTTTAAATAATTAAATAAATTGTTTACAAAGTGGAATGGATTGCGTATGATTTCGTAATTTATTTAAAACACAAATGGGTTTAAGATTTGCTTGCCTTCATATGAATCTGTTGGTTCTTGATATAGTTTGTCAATCTTAATTTCATTACATATTTGAAACTGATCTGTTTGAAGTGTTTCAGATGAACGCGAATGTTGAATACTTTTGCTTTTTAACATATTTTCCTTTTCCTTCTTATCACATTTAACAATATCGTTCGGTTGCACAAATCCATTGATATGGTTTTCAAAATTTAAAATTAAGTCTTTAACGATAACTTTTGGAAAATCATAAATTTCTTTCTTTATGAAGTCTTCTTTCGGATGTTGTTCTTGTGGTTCCTGGTGTTCGTGTAAGCCAATTTCAGCACGATCGGTATATTTCTCAGGTATTACCTGATTAGAATGTGAAAAGTCTGAGGACTTAAGCGACTTCAACATAGGTTCTAAGCAATGTTCATCGTTTTCAGAAACCTGGCACTGCGAATGTGATTCCTGAGTTGAATGTGATAGCGATTGCTCATGGTATTCGATTTGATTTTGATGATAAGTAGCTTAAGCAGTAAAAAGCAAGGTGAATTTAATTGCATTAATTATTTAGTTAGAGAACTGCAATCTAGGTCAATCGTAAATGGCCTCAGTTACAAAGATACAAAGTAATATTGATATTAAACCAACCCAAAAATATCGCAATATAGTTTAAAGAGTTGAATTAAGATACTTTCAATATTCTTTTTAATTAGTCAATCTAATGTATACGAAATAATAATAATGACTTGCAGTTTGCATTTGATTTTAAAATATCTCTATATATACATATGGCACAAAGAATTGAAAAGAATAGGATCTTTTTGTTAACACTACTAAAGGAAAAAAGATATGTTAACAAAACATATCTGTATCTACACTATTTGCTAAACAATATTTAAAACTCTTTTCTGTTCCAGAACTTTGGTGGATTTTTATGACATTCTGCATTAACTGGAAAGCAAAAATAAGGCGTTGTTTTACGAATGCTTGGTCACACAGGAATTGATGATTTCCCAGGTAATTTCGAAAGGGGATGTATAGCCATTTAATTATGTGGAAAGAGTTAGTTCACAAAGATATATCTGATAAAAAGGGACTTGCAAACATAAAATTTGAATACTGTCAAAAGATACCAGAGAACTACCAGCTGGTTCGTTTCTATAACTACAGTAGCTCATTGAAGAGAACTGAGCTTCATGGTAGGTTATTTGGTAGGTCATCATTCGCTGCGTTATCAGCTTGATAATATGAATCTGTCTAAAGAAATATATTGTCGACTATGCTTGGACGCGGATAAACCTGTTGCTGTTTACAAACAAAAATATGTTTTAATCTTATAAGGATAATTATTTGTACGAAGTATTCCTCATTAGTGAAATATCAGGAGATTATTTTATATTCAAAATGCTAGTGTTACGAAAAGCAATTGAGGATTTATAATTGTGTAACCCGAGTTCGAGTGAAGATTGGAGATAACAGCTTACCTTAATGCTTTAGTTATGTCTCGCTTTCGAACACCCAACTTGAATATATGAATGACTAATGTGAATTTCGTTGAATAAACGGTAATTGTTATCTACACTACAATTATCAACTTCCTTGCGGCCTACAGGAGTAATTAAACTTTGTTGTTTATATTAAATTTCCAAACGATCATTCCTAATATACAGATGCCTAAGAAGTTAAACGTGTTGACCTTAACCACGCAATGAGGTAGTAAAATTCTTAGAACTATCTTCAACATTAGTTACAACATATTAAAGCACTAATACCTTCTTTTTAGTGTAGAAGTAATACAAACATATTGATAGTCATGGTTTTAGTACCTGAGAGTAAAGCGAAGATCGAAAATATAGTAATAGACATGCTCTTTTTTTAATAGAATCCTCATTAATTTCGACATAATATTTCAAATTTAAAGCTTAATCTCTAAGAGTAAGATGGAGGTATTTGAACTAATATTGTTGCACCTGGAACACTAAATTGTAATACAGTCACTGTAATTCTTGTATTCGTTGCCATTTAAGCTCAAGACAGTGATACGTTTGTTGAATCTCTCTCCAAGCTGTTATTCTGAGCTAAGCAAAAAAGTAAAGTACAACTGTTCAGCTAGTTAATTGAATGACTAAGATGACTCTAACAACCGAAAATGCGATTTTTTAATGAACTCATTTCATTACTACCCAATACTAGGTTTGTACTTAGTACTGTAAAGAGCAGAGCAATAAAGGGAAAGGATTTATTTAGCTAGGAAATTAGTTTATTTCTGTGGCATTTTTAAAAAAAATTATATGTTAGGCTTATATGCTTCACAGGCTCCCAACTTGTAAATGCATTTAGATGAGCTAAGTTTTCTTTATTGAAGCTTTCTTATCAATTTAAGTTGGTTTATAGCAGTCACCTGTATAAAAGTATTAAGTTCCAGACGATTTCTTCTCTATTATTGCCTATACAATTACTTTAAGATTCCTTGTAAATTTGGTTGTTGATCCTGTCACACTAACTTATAGGCAGTGGCGTAACTACATTTTTTAGGCCTGTAAGCAAATTCTAACTAAGGGGCCCCTACCAACATACTAAGGGGCCCCTCTTTTTATACTCTTTACACGAAAAAATGTAAAAAGGGTATATAAGGTTTGTCAATATTTTCGTAACGCATTAAAGGAAACTTCGGAAATACCATTAAGTATATATCAGTATACTTTTACAGTTCAAACTACTCTCTCAGCTTTTGAACTCTTCGAATAAAACTTTATACACATACTTTTCGGGAGCGCATCCTGTTCACCATTTGATTTGATTGAAATTGGACGTCTATTTCTTGTAGCTGTGATATAAACTTAACAATCGGATATAAGGTTTCTCCGTTTTTAATAAAGGTATTCAAATGGAATATGGTGTATACAGTACTGATATTTGCAAAAGACAACGTACAAAATTATTTTCAAATGGGTTTAAATTTAGATATAGCTTCCATATAAACTCTCGATCAAGACACATATTTTTCTTAGAAAAACTTTTTTATTTCATAAATAGGTTTAATATTTTATTTGAAGTACATACATATTATGTACTTTAAATTTAAAATTTACGTATCTTTTATAAAATGCAATATGAAATTATTCCAACAAAAAACGTTTCGTCCCACTTTTGAGAATTTATTAAAAAGAAATACAATGAATACAAAAATTTATAGTGGGGCCCCCTAAATTCGGGGGCCCGAAAGCGTTGCTTCCAGTTGCTTCCCTGTAGTTACGCCACTGCTTATAGGTTTCTTAGGGAAATGAGTTCTAGAGAATAAACAAGCTTGGACCTTATTGAGCTGAAATTCTTGGAAACTGACTATAACCATATCCTTAACCTGCACTTGTTACTATATATCCAATCCATCCTGAATAATATATCACTTCACCTGCACAAAGTTTTTTTTAAACATGATTGTTTTTAAATATTCGCCTTATCTTCCGTTTAAATGTTGTTGATGAAGTTGAAATTGAATATGGTGTATGTTAGAGTTAAATTTATATTTTAAAAGAGACTTCCTTCTCCTGTCTAACATATATGACTATTTTATAATCTCTATATAGAGACTATGTATATATAGGGATGCCACAGCATTTCAAAGAAAATATATATACCATATTAAATACTTTAACAAAAATTTCCATTTAATAGCTCTAATACGTCCCATTTTCTCCATTACATAAATGAGCATGTTTACACATGTTAGCCATTACATAAATGAAAAGTTCTTTACTTTACAGAATGCAGTTTCGAAAGCAATATGTTTCAAGTAAACTACCTGCTAATCCGCATACGATCTGTAGGTTTATCACTCCGCAGTAAGTATTATTCTAAATAACAATTGCACAGTTAATGCAATCATCAAAATAATACTGATTGAATACTTTTTGTCAGTCAACTATAAGGGCTGTTAAGTACTTTAACTCCTGTGCTCAAAATTTAGCCTGCTAGTCAAGTGCTACTGCTACTAGTAACTCTAAATGATACTCACGAGTATCGTCCTCATATTAGAAATTTAATCAATAAAAAGCGTTAATGGATAAAACACATTGACAACGAATGATATTGAAAAAAAAAAAATTTACATTATATTTGGATACCAATCGGAAATCAATGTTAGCCGAATATGACCACAAAAACATTTACTTTTTAAAATAAACATTTAAGGAATAATTTTCATTAAAAGTATTTTTTCAACAAAATTATTGTCAGAATCACGCAATTATGAATAACAAAAGACCCAGAATATAAATTGATTCCAGACATAGTATTACAAGAGCTTTAACCAAAAGGATTTGTCTTTGGCCATTACCTATTTAATATCTTAAACATATAGAGCTGAATACAATATATTTTTATTAACTATATAAGACAATTAATTAAATGTTCGAATATTAATAATACCTTTTTGCAGCTTGTAGTTTCAAATTATTGTATTGTAGAGTTCTTATTGCTCATAATTCGAAAATAAAATAAAGTCGGTTTTATTTTTTATAATTTAGCTTTTATTCCTAATATTAGGAATTCTTCTGATAAAGTAAAAGCGAATTTGCCGAAATACCTAAAGAAATATGTATCTTGTTATCAAAAAAGAACGAGAACTTTAATTTTTGAATTTCCGCGTTTATCCAGTTAGCAAATTTTTTTATTTTCACGCTGGCAACACTGTTATACACATTCTGTCAAAGTTTAACGCATATCGTACGATTAGTTTTTTTTTTGACGTCTATACAAAACGTCGAAAAATGTTCGTGTGTCGATTTTTAGCTGAATTTCATTCAAAAAAAGCGTCGTTATTATGTGGTCAACGCAGATAGTGACCCCACATTCATCGAACGCATCATAACTGGTGATAAGACATGGGTCGATGAATTTCACATGCCCACCAAACAACAACCAATCGAATGGTGCTTCGAAGAAGAGCCGAAACCAAAAAGAGAACGCCACAGTCGGTCCAAAAGCTGACTGTTTTTTTCGATATTCGTGGTGTGGTGCACTATGAATTCCGGACGGTCAATCGGTCAATAAGGAGTATTATTTGGCCGTTATGCGTCGGTTGCGTGAGGTCATTCACAAAAAGAGGCCCGATTTATGGAAGGAAAAATCAGGGATTTTACACCACGATAAAGCACCGGTTCACACAGCGTTGGTTGTTTCGCAGTTTTTGGCCAAAAACTCCACCAATACACCAATATCATCAACCAAGCACCGTACTCTCTAGATATGGCCCGTGTAACTTTTTCCTCTTCCCACGACACAAATTGCCATTGCGTGGACCATAGACGCGTTTTGAGACCATAGAGGCCATAAAATAGAATTCGCTGCGTGAACTAAAGGCCATACCTTCGACGACCTATAAAACTTGTATGGAAAATTGGATCAAGCGTTGGCATGCATGTATTGCCGCAGGAGGAAAGTACTTTGAAGGCGATAATAAAGAAAATTATTAAAAATTAATATTTTGCGTTTTTTTTTTAAATTCTCGTTCTTTTTTGATCATAAATAAATATACTATCATAAAAATACTAAATACTAAATAACGATCGTAATAAAAGCTAAAAAGATATCAAGACATCAAATCTCAAATATTTGATATCCACACAGTAAAAACAATGATAATATTAACATTTCCATACCTAGATATTAAATTTTATTAATTCGGTTATACATACCGAATATATGACCCTTTGCAGTTCTCTGACTTCAATTGATTGAGAAAAACTTCTTTTTATTTGCATGATATTTAAAGCCCGATTTTAATGAAATATATTTAAATAATAGTTTAAGCGATTGTTTCGATAATGCATTATGTCCAAAGCACTATTAAACTACACTCGCTCGCGACTGACAACTGTCACTGCAGTCCAATTAAATGGAACCATAGTAGGCAGTTCGATCGTGCGCAGTATTGCGGAAATGGATTTGCTTGACTTCATTTTTGACATTTCTAGTTTGGTAGAGTAGTTTAATTATGCGTTGGGCTTTATTAATTTCACATATGTTCAAATATAAATCAATTCTTTTGAACAATTCTTGAAAATGAACAAATACTTGAATCTCCAGTTATATAATATAAATTCTATTCTAGAGATACAATTACATACCTTTAGGTAAGGTGACACATGGTGCATTCCAACCCTGTGGTACACTTGGTTTATAAGCCAAATCTTTTTGATGACTAACGCTTGCCACTTTTGGAGATTGGATTGCAGTTCGATTCTAAAATTTATTATAGATTAGCATAAAAACTTGTGTTTTTCATATACATAAAATTAACCTTTTCATATGCAAGTTCTTCAAAACCGGGTGCGGAAGATTTCAGCAGCGGAGTTTCACCGCATACATATTCGGGTTCTGTTGCGGGCAATAAAGTTGGTGTAGATACATAAGGTGAACGTCTTTGATCTTCAACAAAAGCTGTACTGGCTGATCCAGTTGTTAAAGCGGCCTCCCACGGTGATGTAACAACTTTCAATCCAGGCTTTGCATACTTTTCTAGTACACTCTCTTGATGCATCTTGTTTCTTAAACGATGCTTTCCTACTTCAGAATAAGCAGGCAAAACACTTGGTAAGACTGTAGATTTTGGCTGATACTGTTGGTAATCTGGAATACCAGATGGACTATAATTACCAGCGTTGGTTTCATCAACTACCCATTTTTCTGCTTTTTTGCGGCGTTTGGCAAAAAGCTCGGCACCTTAGTAATTCAATTATTTTATTGGCGAGCACATTAAGCGCGTAAAGCATATGTTTTGGCATGAAGCATCGTTGTAACGAAATAAAAAAAAGCGCAGTCAGAAACATTGAATTATAAACTGTTACATATTAATAAAATAAAAAAATTCATAATATATCTGAGTACATAACTGCATCCCACTTGGAGAGTAAAAACTGTTATAATTCCATAAATATATGCTTCATTTATGAAATAAATATTTAATAGATGCAGTATTCTATATTCTATATTCTAAACTATATTCTTTTGAGATTTAAAAAAATTTTGAAAAGAAACTAATGAGCGGGCGGAAAAAAGTATTGTATGAAATGAACTATTCTGCTATTATAAGACTGTTGAGAATGGAAATTGTGTCATTTGAAATAATATTAAAAATTAGTTTGTAATCATCTCAAAAATAAATTAAACTAACTATTTTTTGTCAATTTTCTTTTAGAATTCGTGTACATATTGAGCCTTTTCCGAGTTAGTGCATCTGAGCACTTTTACTCTTTGATAGCTGGGGGCTTTTTACAGAGTCCCATCCTTCTCACTGGTCAATTTATGTATTCCTCAAAAACTTCGTGTATGTTTCAACTAATGCTATTGGTTTAGTTCCTTAAAGAACACTCTAATTTATAGAGAACAAACATATGTTGGCTTGCATGACTTTTGAAGTAAATACATGTCTATGGATATCTATGAAAATTGTTCCCAACTATTGTCAAAATATTTTATAAAATAAAAAATTATAATATGAAAGATAAAAATTTAAGAAACTATTTGCAATTTTTTGTATCCATCACTCAAAAATTGCTGTTTTCTTTTAATTCCTAGTTTTAAATAAAGAAATTCGATATTTTTACCGTATATTACCTTTGCCCTGATGCGTATGTAATGCCGTTACAACTTCAGCACATTTATCAGGTGAAAGAAGTCCCGTTTCTGTATTCAAGGAATCCCGCAATAAATCAAAATCACGCGTTTGCCCTCTTGGATTCATTAATAATCTTAGAGGAATTCGATCTGGAGTTGATCTCGGTGATGATTCGCTAACTGTTTCCTTGTTTTCCTTTAACTCATCCTCAACATCTGCATTTTAATAGACTCATCAATTTAAATGCTAAATTATTGGAGTTCAACAATCTCGGTTTGGTGTTAATAGATCAGTTAATATATAAACACTCATTTCAGTTCAGCAATAGCATTAAAATTATTGCCAAAAAAAAAAAACATAATATGTTAACTGAGAAATTATGCAATGTATGTGCGCCATAATTATGTTTATTTGTCATTAACTATAAAATTTCAAAAATAATTATATGGAATGTATTTTAAAATATGTTTCAATATATTCACCACATAATGATATCAAAAATTTTTCTTGTAAAAATACAAGAATGCCGAATAATTTAATCTAATTTTTATTTTAATTGGTAAAATTGTGATTTTTGTTAAACTTACATTAAGCTAACATTATATATACATTAAATATATTAAACATAGCTATTCTGGAGATTTTATCACTGACAATGCAAATAATCTGAATAATTATTTTTCTTTCAGAGATATGATATGCTTTCTTATTGTATGTTATATATAGCCAGATTTTTCACACCACAGACATGTGATGAATTCTCCACAAGAAGACAATTTATTTGTTATGGAGAACAGTTTGAAACGCAAAGGATCCCGTAAACTATGGCCAGATAGTACCGCTGTTATACCAATGTTTTATTAATATTTTAAATTTTTTTAATAGAGAAAAAAGACAACATGACAAAAAACGAAAGAGAAAGCATTGTTGTCTACTTGGTTTGAAATTTGAAATTGTTGCGCCTCTTACTTGGACCTACAATTTTACTTTTATTAGAAAGTTTTTAGCTATAAAGTTGGAAATATGTTGAAGAGCAGTTTACTTTAAGCAGTAAATACAAATGAAAGTTCTCGTAATTGGAATTTTTTGGATCAAAATATTCGTTGAGAGAAATGGAATAAATAAATTAACTTACGTTTCTTGTAAAATGTATTGATAGTATAGTTTTGAAAGTCTAAAGTAGGGCGTAGAACTACTCAAATTCCCTAGTTCCAAGTTCGTAAGCATTTCTATATACTTTAGAAAAATTATATATAAAATAACACATTGTGTTAATTTCATGGCTAGTATTCGCAAAAACTACAAACTATGACTAATGTATAATAATAACTATAATATTGTATAAGAGTGTTGGAATATTGTGCAATATTACTAACATACTCATTGTTCATTCTAGAATACTTTTTAACTTTTCTAGCAAATATTAAGTAATAACAAAATTAAAAAAAAATTAATGCTTATGCCAATATTCGGACCATACAATAAGTTGTTGGTTTATTTTCTAAAGAGTTCTCGCTGTATATTACTTTTTGTTTGACAAGTTATATGTTTCCCTTGCTTACTACCCACTTTTTAGTCAAAAATTGTACACCTGCATATATTTTAATAGACGATAGCGAACTTGATTTGAGTTTTTACAGAGTAGAAATGTCCTAAAGCTTTAGTCAGTCACTAAAGCAAATTATGTTTCCGTAATTTGTTTCAAAAAGAAAGGAATAAAACAGAACACAGTCAAAGTGCCAGTTGTTGTTTTAAAAATATGATAAAGGATATAACATCACCAAGCGAAATTGACTTACAGTTGTATAATATTACTTGTAATAGCGTATCTATGTTTACTGAATAACTGTTTGCATTATTTTAAATGTTGGCATACATCCACTTGGGGTGCTCACGAATTAATATGTTACATTCAATTAAAGTTCGGGAAAAGTTATTAGAAAAATGAATGCCACAGTTTTGTACGATGAACCAGTATTTAGGGATGTTTAAACGAAAGCTAAATGAACTTTAAAATTTTTTATTATTTTTTATTATCATGAACAAAGAATAGTTTTTTAATACACCCCGGGAAAGAAGAAACATTCAAAACGTTAGACTGCATCAATTAAACTAGAGAATATTATTAATTCAATGGTAAAAGTTTATTACGATGCATGTCGTAAGATTTATATAAATTACCTTCCATTAATAACGATTATAATGCAACATTATCGGTCATGAAAATAGTCTTTTCCATTAATTAATGTACGAATGAACAGATAATGTAATATATAATATATATAATAATATATAGTATATATAATAATATATAATAATGTAATATTGTTCTTAAAATAACTGTGACTAAAAAACTTGAAGAATCGTTAAATCAAATGTATCGAGGTGAAACAGAACGATCTCGATCAAAATCCTATCAATCAAAAACAATATACATTACAATATTTTGTAACAACGTGTTAAATTGCTGTACTACATAAGCATATTACTAGCATTTAATAGAGGTTTTCCTAACCTATTTTGTCTAAATAAGTTACACTCCAAAAACTCTTATTTCGATAGAAATTTTCACGATGATGAAATTTCCTATCTGACAACTTGAAATAAAATGTAATTAGTTTAGGAATCAAATGAACTTGAACAAAAGACTTAATTTCATTTAATTATATTAAGATAGCAATACTGTCATGGTAAAAATTATTCTATACATTCTTTTTGAAAACTAATTGCAATTTAATATTTTTTATTTTAACCTATTAAAATAGCTTCGAAGTAGATTATTTTATTTTTTAAAATTTTATATATATTATATATTGTGGTGAAGATTTGAACATTAGTCATTTGCACAATGTATTGAGGATCGGTTGATTGAGGATCACCTTTAAAAGTAATTCACTCAATATGGAGTACATAATTGTATAATAGTTAAAGGTTTAAGAAGTAAAACTTTAGCGGTAGTAATATATAGCGCCTATTTTTTTATATAATATGCGTTAATAATTTAAAAAGAAAAACTAATATTTTTCGTTATTGTTTTGATTTTTCAAATAGTATTACTAATTAGTTTACCTTGACCGCACCCCTCGTGCACCCATTTAACTGATCGTTTTTTTCGATTGACATACATAGACTGTCCTTTCGATGTTTGATTACTTATGTCGCTGAGGGAATGGGATATTCTGCGGGCAAGTTCAACTTGATCCTCCACTGTCGGATGTAAGGTGGGAGAATAAAACGCCGAAGAAGCATATAGTTTTCCTGTTATATTCAAGATTGTATATTTTTGTCACACTAATTTGGAGAACATACAAAGGCGATACGCAATATGATTTATTAAAATTAGTTAAGAGTAATTGCTTAGAGCAACATTATGAATTTTGAAGCATGAGAAGCATGAATAAAAATTTTTAATTAAATTTAAATATTAATTTATAATTCTTTTAATATGTACTCGTGTACAAAATAATATAACATATTATTATATATAAGCAAATAAGCGTATTGCAAAAGCAATTACTTCATCGTTTCTTTTTTTTTTTTTTGTTTTTTGGGTAGTCGATTAACTTGGGTTTAACTATTACGTATCACCTTTAATAATTCTGTGTGCTTTAAACAAATTTACTTACTATTTTTCGGTTGAATTTCCTCAGTGTCTGTAGCTGGTGTAAAAATTTTGCGCAAATCTATTTTATTGGTTACATTCGATGTTTCCTGAAGACAGTTAAGAATTTTAAAACATTTGTAAGAACTAGATTTCGCTAAATTTTAGTGAGGAATCCACATGCATATATTATCCTATCGTCTACTTTGGAGAAACAAATATTTAGTTAGTTTTAAAATAATCGAACTAAAGTCACATAGGTGACTTTGGTGACCGGCTTTGAGGATTTGATTCTTTAGAATTGTCAGATTTATTTAAAAGTAAACAAATGATAAGTGAATCAATTTTGTCGAAATAATTTATGAAGTTTGTTTGAGTTAAAAACTTATAGTGAATTTTAAGATATTTCATTTATTTAGACACAAAATTATATAGATCAAATATTTTTGAATTTCCACCTTACCTAAAAAATTTAGCTATATAAATATAGCTAAAGTGTAAGCACATGAAGAGCTTGTAAACAGTCTTTGTTTAAATTTGTTCATCAATTTCTGCACACTTTATGCATTTGCTTTTTTTAAATTGTATTTTAGACTTAAATAATAATTCATAAAATAATGTACTATATATATGCGGTGGAAAAGAATATATATTTATAGAAATATACATTTCAGTAAGGGTTGAGAATACAACATTTGACGAATTTGAAGATGTTCTTAAAAATTGTAGACCTTCTACCTCTTGCCTAATTTTTTTATACAAAATCTGATATTTTCATTTTGTGTATATACATATGTATACCTTTGTTTTTTTCAAACTGGTTAATAAGTAATAACACAATAATAATAGTAATAATAATAATAATAATATTGCATTGGATAAATTTGTAGTTTAGGGAGAAATTATTTCATTTCATATTACAACAAAATTAAATTTTCATATATGCTCACATTTGTCCGGTGCCACATTTTTTTAGTAAGTTCAGTTAAAAAGTGCTTTTTGCTCGGATCATGCCTATCGCTAGGCTTAAGTCCTCGTTTCTTTTCAACTGAACTATTGCCAAGGGAATATGATTTTCGCAACATTGTGCCCGAACTTCTAGAACAATTTGATCTAAGTTTGCTAGTGGAACTGATATCACACATACTTCTAGCTCTAACGTCTAAGTCGCTTTGATATTTAAACATTTTGAAAAAAGTTACTTCAATTTAATTTTTATTTAAACTCAATATATCCATATTTTAATTATTTTTACGAAATGGTATTTCAATTTTCAATTAGAATATATAAATTTCTTCTTCTGCTGTTTGCTCGGCAGTCGGTTGTCTTAAGTTCGTCTGCGATGTTCTTGGGTTTACTTCAGTTTTTCTTATAATAAATGAGTTTGGTGTGTGGGAGCACACGGTCTACACACACTTTTGCACCTAAACAAATTTAGCTTTTCGTTCGAGCTCTTCGCCTCATACTAGCAAATTCTTGAATTTTCTTTTGTGGTGTGTTTTCAATGTTTCGGTTGCCGATATAAATAGCTTTTTAATTATGTAAGTTTTCATCATTTTTGATGATTTATCAGCAATATCAGAATTCCGTATACGAGACCACTCGGTAGCATTTTGGTCTTTTCTAAAACGTTCGCATTTCAATAACAGAGACTATATAGTATACCACATATTGAAAGCATAACTAATTCATTTTGTATATAAGTAAAATTTCACTAATTAAATCTTTTAATTGTTAATTTCTCACTCTAGCTTTCCACATTTGTAATTTACTTTCTAATTTGTCATTTTGATAATTATTTCTGTTCCACAAAATTATAATATAATTAAATAATTTATATTGTGGCCTATTTATAGTTCCACTGCATGAAACTACAGCTTACAGAAAACTTCCAAGTTAATTTACGCTAATAAATTACAACACTCTAACATATGAATAAATTGATTTCGATTCATGTAATGTTATATACTTTAACTGAAGAACAGCGACCTCGCATTAAACATGGTTCACTTGATTGGATGTTACGAGTATATAGTCAGTTTACAGAAACAGAATATGAGCTATGTATATTATTGCGCTTGTAAGCAAAAACATAAATGGGTACTTACTTTGGTCCTGTACGACTCAATTTCCTTAGTGCAAGTCAAGTTACCATCCTTGTATCTTTCTTCGAACGAAGTAAATTCCGACACATTTTGTTCAGGATATGTGGTAACTTGTTGCAGTTGTTGTTGTTGCTGCTGCTGTTGTTGTTGTTCTAGCTGTTGTTGTTGTTCTAGTTTTTGTTGTTGTTGTTGTTGAATTTGTGCATCGATTTTAAGTTGCTGCTTCAACAATACTTCTCTATCCTTTAGTTGTTGTTGCTGTCTCAGGTTCTCCTCAGCCAACTGTTTCGCTAATAATTGTTGTATTTCTATTTGTTCGGCTAATTCTTTTTGTTTTTTTAAGAGTTCCTCTTTCTGTTGCCTGATCGAATTAATATGCGATTGCTCACTTATATCAGTATCAATGTCTGAAATGATTTCTTTTATTGCATTACTGAAGTTTTCCTAATAAAAAAAAGAATATATATATGTATAAAGTTTATATTTACAAAAGTTATTCTCAAACAAAAACAATTAAAAGACATATTCATTACAATTACAATTAATATGGAGATCATACCTTTTTTCTTTGTTCTTCTTCTCCTGTGTTGTCCTTAATTGTGCTTTGATTAACCACTTTTGGCAAATCGATTTCATCCGCAGTTTGATTTTCTTCCTGTACAAAAAGTATAAAGAATAAGAACAATTCAATTACTATAATATGTAAGCTAAATTTGCTCTACTTTTAATTCCTCATCGCCGTTTTGAGTCACTTCCTCCTCACCAATATTTTTTCTTAGTTCTAGTTTTTCACTGTTTTCTAACTCATCACATTTTTCTTTTTCGTTACTTTTAATTTCATTGATATTGGCTTCTTGTTTTTGTAATTTGTCATCATCCTTTTCGTTTTCATCAGTTTCTTCTTTTTTATGGGTTTCACCGCTTTCTGTCTCGTCTTCGTCAACAACTTCTTCTTCTTCTTCTTCTTCTTCTTCAACAACTTCTTCAACAATTTCTTCCGAAGATTCTCCATCAACTTCATTTATTTCTTCAATATCTTCTTCTTCCTTATCTTCACTTTTGTTATCATTGTCAATTGATTTGTTATCGACATCATCTTTTATATTTTCAGTATCTTGCGCTTTCTGCGTTGTTGAGGTTTTATCGACAACTACGGCTGTTTCCTCATTTGGCGTACTTTGTTTTTTAGTTACAACTACAGTTACAGTAGTACCAACATCATTCTCGTCAGAAGATTCTGAACTCTTCTGTTCGTTTTTCTCACTCAATTCAGTAACTTTTTGGATTCCGATTTCATCCACATTATTTGTGTTATCTTTCACAATCGATGCAACTACTACATCTTGATTTGAATCGCTTTTTGCGATCTGTTTAGTTTTTAGCAGTAAGGAAGAAATATTTACAAATATTTAGAAACATGTGTTTATTTATGCAGTAACAGCAAAAAAACAAATTAAAGCAAAAAGCCTATATTATATATTATTGCCAATTTATAGTTTTAGTTGCTCTTCTATTTTGCTTATTCAAAGTCTTTCATAGACGGAATTACGTAACACTTTGATATATAATTATGAGAACATCACGAATTAACAAAATCATCCCAATCATCACTGTATATTAATTAAACATGAATAATGATTAACAAAGAAGATAGTAAATTTCCGATAAATTAATCAAACATAAAATGCAATGTTTCCCAGTTACCGAAACTATTATTTTGTGAGACCATTTTTTTTCTACAAAAAGTAGATTTCTATTAAAACATAAAAACATTTCAACATATTACCAGGTCAAGGTCTAGAAATCAACCACTCCAATGTAAAGGCACCTCAAATTAAATAAGGTCGCTTGTGTGTGCTGAATATAAGTAGATAAATGGATGACGTCATGAGAAATAATGGCGTTCTAGTTAAAGCACATATAGACGTGTGTGGGTGTGGGAATAATCTGACGTGAATTGGATCAGTACAACTTTTGCTGCAAATGAAAGTTGCCAAATTTCATGCCCAAACGCTTGTTGGACACTATGTTACAGCGACTTGGGTTTAATAGCATGAGAATTCAAAGATTACCTATTAAAATGGATGGAGTAAAATATAGCTTATTTTATTAAGCCAGGCAAGCAGAAAGCAAAAAGTTTGAAAAGTTGGTGGATGAGAGATGGAGATTCATTTTTGCAATTCATAGTGCCAAATCTCAGTTGCATTTCAGTCCATCAATAAATGTTGATATAGTTTTGTAGATGCTTACTATATTGGTTCGGAAACCTCTAATATTCTAACTTTGTTATCACTAATTATATGGAAATTGAGTTGGAATCATATTTTCCAAGTGTGGCTTATTAAATTTGTGTGCATGTATGGTAAATAGTACACTCTCAACAAATATTTTCTCAGAACTGATCTGTTTGATGACATAGTATACACGGAGTTTGTGCACAAATTTAGATATCGTATATTAAAAATTGTTAAATTGATTAAAATTATTTTATTTATATTAAAATAAGCAGCAAAAGACGACATTAGTTACTGTGATCCATTAAACAGAAATGTGCAGGCGTAATTTAGACAAAAACAAATATTAATTAAAAAATATATATAAACAGGGTGTTTCCTGATCACTTCTCTAAAATTCCTAAACTATTTTCTGATACAAATAACAAGAAAAATTATATTGAGGTGGTATTCGTTACCAATATTTACTTAAATAAAGATGTTAAAGAAAATTATGCCCGAAAAGCACATGCATTCAAACCAATCTCAATATCTCAAAAAGTGTTCATTTAACTCATATAGAAGTTATTAATTTTCTTAACTTGTTTTTTTTTTAATTAATATCACCGTAATATCTTGGAAATAGTCCACTGCGACAAATTTTATGGTAGAATGGACCTGCTGCTTTCTTTCAAACAGTAGGTGCTGCGATTTAAAGAACGATTTTAAGAAAACGAAGTGAGATAGAAGAAAAATTGATAATTATGTATTGGCATACGTATATGTGGACTACATCAAATAATATTTAATGAACCCAACTACTATATGACTTTAGATATTCAAATGAAACGTTTTTAAAATATTAACATTTTTCCAGCTCCATCTTTATTGGGCTTTTCTTTGACACTCTGCATCCTGGAAAATATTGAAAACAGAACCTCCTCCTATATGATTTCTTGAACCAAAGAATTTGAGGAATTGAGGAAAACACCCTCTAATAAATATAAAAAATTTAGTTGCGCATTTGAAATGAAAACAAACTAAATGATAGCTAGTGCTAATAATCGTACAAATATGATATGATATGATATGATATGATATGATATGGAAACGAAATAACGGCACCAAAATAAATCATTACATAAATATAGTACATTTACAGAGACAATCATTTAAGTTAGAAAAATTATAGTTTATTAGATAGTTGTTACTAAACATATAACATATTACAAACAATTACTTCAGAACACACTCGTCGCATTCATAACAGTTATTTTTTTTAATTGAGACATCAAAACTTGATAGACTAATTTGGAGGTTGCGAGCCCAGACGACGAGGAGTCATTTATTGCTTTGTCGAAGATGAGGTTGTAGTGACACAACTCACCAATGATGTTGATGATTTCTTCATAACCGAAGATACTGTTGATTTTGATGAGCTGGTTACAGATGCCGTAGCTGATTGTTTTAGAACATTTACTTCAAACTCTTGCGGATCATTGATGTCCAGTGTTAACATTTTATTAGATAACGAAATTGGTAATCCTGATACTTCCGTAACAGCATTGTTGTCTTCCGAATATTCCTCATCAGACATATTCAGAACCACTTTTTCACTTTTCTGCTGTGCACTGGTGCAAATTGATTTATTTACAACCATAGATGCTTCTTCAACTACAATTTCGTTTGAAGTCTGTTTCGATATCTGTTAAAATATTTGTAATTTTTTTCCTGGTATATTTATATGATATATATTCAATCACACATTATATGTAATGTAGAATTGCTGTTTTCAATGTCTGTCTGTATGTGTGCGTATAAAATATCTACAAAGTAATTCTGTAATTCTGTTATAGAATTCATGTCCGTCACATGACATAACCAGAACAAATGGTTTTACTGAACAACAAAAAGTTGTGGACAGTTTCTTTTAGGTGCTTTCTTTTAGGCGATTAATATACAATTTAAACATCCTGTAACAATCGTGCCAAAATTTATTGGATATACATATTTATATTTCAAGTGTGTACTTTAGTAAAACTAAATATAAATTACATTTACATACTAAGTAATATTTAGCATTTCTACATTTGAGTTAAAATAATCATTTAATAACTTTGAGTTTGCAATTGATATGGTTTAGGGAAGTGGATCGCTATCTGTACAGACTTATGCTCAGCATTTTTATTTCTAAGTGTTCTAAGTGAAGTTTAATAAATAGTGAACGGGTTTTGTAGGATATAACTAATGAAATTGTTTATTTGTATGACTCTGTATGATGACCACTAATTCGTTCGGTTGCGGTCTATATTATTATCAAAGTAATTCAAAATATAATGGAAAGCTATTCTGTATTTGACATAGATCATTTCAATTCTATTTAATTTGATTTCTTTTTATGGTATTCAATTGTTAGCATAAATTTATTATTCCCTCAAAACATTAACTTGTGTGGAGTGATGACCGAAATATAAAATAGATATCCAATTGAAGTACATATCAAAAACCTTTCAGGATAAATATCCAAATTGAATGAATGTGTAGATAATTTTTTTTGGAGAACTTTTGATATGACACTATTGAAAATATTTGAATTTAATAATACCATAATAAATAATAATAATGAAATTTACAAGTTTTTTATATAATACTTTTTATATAATATTATTAGGTCGCTTGATATTTGATCTACATTCATATGGTTTTTTCAAGAAAAAAATATTGTTTTTGTACGAATGCCTCATGAATTCGGTATATATATACCTAGACATAGCCAGTCGACATATTGCTGCAGACAGATTTAAGCGCCATATAAATCCAAAATGGTCTAGTTTTTCATAGAACCAGTATGTAGGGAACTGAACATAGCTAAATACCGAAAATCAACAGCACGGTCTATTAACATTATATAAACAAATAAAAAATTACAAATTTTATATAATGTTTTTGATTAATTTAGATGTGTCCAGTAATTGTACCAAATTTTGTTTGTAAGATATTCTAAAAAATGTATGTGCCAAAAATATCAAATAAATAAATATCCAGAAACTTACTTCATTTTCGAACTTATCACGATTTTTATCTAAAATGAATATTTATCGGGGTATTTATAATTTTGATATGTCTTGCCCATGTGTGTGGTAATGTATGTGTGGGTTTAATTGTATATGACGGTTAGAACTTATGATAGGATAAGCCATATGATGAATACTGAATTTTAGACCTTAATCTTTAGAGTAATATGTTAATGTGTATTTATATGTGCGTTTTTTGCAATAAATTCTAGTTATATCAACAAAATACTTACTTTATTTTCAGCAGTGACTTCCATAATTGTTTATGGATCCTTTTCTAAAACAGATATAAATTTTTGAAATTTAAAACGGAAATTCTAATTTTTTAAGAATAAATTGCATTTCTTTAATTCTTATATAACATTAATATCTTCTAAGCTTCAGATATAAGTACCGCGATTAGATTCATTGTACACAACATAGTATAGAGCACGTATGACATTCTAAACCGTTACAGTTTTGTAAGGATTTCGGGAAAGTATCTATTGTTTACTCTGAACGAACTCTTGTCAAGAATTTGATTGCAAATTGTTATAGAAAATGTTTAAAAGTAAACAATTATATAGAACAGAACTGCAGTTACCGGCTTCAGATATTCAAAATTACTATATTTAAAAATATTAGAATTGTTACGCGGAAAATAATTATTATAATTATAATATATATATTATGCAATCAAAATGTGCATTTTATTTATACAGCTTTTATGTACAACCTGTTTTAGATTAAGTAATTCTTTGCATTCAGTTGTATTAATTTTATTTATTTTAATTATCACGACACTTTATTTGCTCCACTAACTGCTTGACTAAGTGAAACAGTTCCCCTTACCAAAATTCAGTACACCACACGGTTTTTACAAAATGTACAAATTCTGTAGTTGATTTAATATTATAATATTATGTATAATTTATTAACATAAAATTTGAAAGCAACCCAATCGACTATACTTTTGCACAAAGGCCACTAACACACTAACGAACCTAGATCTATTCGATTTGCAAATCTTGCCACTTGCTGCTATTATTATTTTCAGATTTCCCACTGCAGCTGATTCTGCTTCTGTTTCTGATTCTGATTCTGCTTCTACTTCTATTTTTATTTTTGTTATTTTTGTTTAATGTGTTCTTCTCCTACCACAATTTTCATGTAGCAAACACATCTTTAAGTGTATTTTGGCATAAGAGAAACTACGCCACTAAAGCTAATGATCGATATGGCACAACTGTATACTGAGGTTCACAACATATATATTAATAAAAAAAAAAAAAGCTCAATTGAAAATGAGGTAATAACATAGTAGAAAAAATAAAATAAAGCAACGATCGACGACTACGACTACGCTAGTTCTTGCAGTATCGTATGCGAATGTTTTGCGATATGCATACCTATATGCCAGACTATAACGACAACTATTTTATGCATAGTAGGATTAATTAAATCAAAATACGTCACTTTAAACAGATTGATTTAATTGAATTCATATTGGACAATCGATTAGTTTCTATTATACTGCCAATTATAAATGTACATCCATATACGAAAGACACAACAATAGATTTAATGTGTGTGTGGGACACAAACCTATAAGGAAAATAAAAACCATAAACAAAAAAACATTTATTTTACATGCAGTTCTGTATATATTTATATTCAATTAACATCGTTGAACTTACCCGTCGGAGATATATTAGAATATCTTATAGCAGACTTGTAATTGAATTGTATTTCGAAGAGTGAATTTAAGGAGCGCACAATAGATCTTTTAGGTCGGGGTGCACAAATAGTCTATTTTAAAATTTAAGGAAATCTATGGATATTTAAATATATATCCTTTGCTTATAGAGCAATAGGTAATACAATACGCTTATGCATTACAGAAAAAATGCAGTAGAACGATAACGCAGTAGGTTACAAATACGTATTCATTACCTTCTGCCTCACTGGTGATAATTTTATACCTTCATGATACCTGTTAATGTAGTTAGTAATTATGCGTTGTATAGTTAAGTCTTGAAGTTATATATATGTATTGAACATAGCCAATTAAGCAAAAGTCAAATTATACACAATCTCTATGTTTTGCTAAACAACAACTTATATATGCAACAATAGTAAAGTACGCAAAACATTACGCTATGTATATGGGTCATTCTTTTACAAACCGCACGGATTTTGGCAAAAATGACCTCATCACCGATTTGGCTGAAATTTTTTTTATGAGCTCGTTTCATAAAATAAGAAGACCCGTATTTCGGAAAAACCCATGTGGTTTAATGGATTGACCTTGTAGACACATTTTCAAATGGCCATATCTCAAATGGCTATATAAATTATAGAAACTTGAAATTTGCTGCTTTTTAAAGATTATTGATTGAACTTTTAGGAAATTTTTTAAACAATCAAGATTGTTTATATTTCAATTTCAATTTACAAATAAATAAGCATTATTCATAAGTTTAAATACTCAATGAATAACTCAAATATTTATTTAATGAATTTTACTACATAAATTTGACCACGAGGTGATACTGTATATCATGTATCAACAGAAATAAAATCCAATAAAGAAATTGATAAATTCTTTGACCTGATTAATCACCACAAACAACAGAATTCAAAAATTGACATGATAGGACTTTCTTTGAAAAATTAGAATTACATAGACTTTTATTTGTTAGCGAACTTTCACAGCAAATTAACAAAACTTCAGAAAAATGTGCGAACATAAAAGTCAAGTACGTCTTTGGGTCATGAATGCTGACTCTGAGTTACAAATTTGGTAGGGCACGAGTTACTGGTACTTACAGTCTCAGATAATTAAATACAAAAACTATTTCCAAGACCACTGATGATGGGTATTTAGCAATACTCGAGACATGGTCAGCCAAAAATTCAATTAATTAAAATAATAAAAAGGAAAAACGTTTGTTGTTGTAATTCACTACTTTTCGAAATCTCTTCAACAAATCTTTTTATTAATTGCAATGCAACATAGCTGGGTGTTAATACACAACTAACGCAAACTAAATTATATGTGTCTTCATTATATATAATACGATATGAGTAGTCGTATATGTAATAAAATGTTCTAAAACTAAGATAAGAATACATTTACTGAGCAACTCATGATTAGCTGATTGTGCCAAAACATTTGTGTTTTTGTGTTTTCCTTTGAGTCTGATACATATTGAAACATATTTATCAACAACAGCTTCGAAGGGCTTTCTCGAAATTGTCAAAATATCAAGAAAAGGTTTCACACACACACACACACACATAAAAATTACCTTCAATCAATTTATGTTATGTTTACATGTCGTAAATGTTTACGACTGGTTTCTATGTTACAAATAAAAGAGTATAATACGAAAATGTTTGCAATAAAACCTGGAGTACCACAAGGAAGTGTACAAGGTCCAACCATCTACAGACTGTTCACAGCTGACTTACCACTTATTTCATTTATGTACACAGCAACCTTTGCTGATGACACAGTGATCAATGGCTAAAAGTCGCTACTAGTCAATTGCAAACAAATCTAAACAGCATCCAAGCGTGGCTAACAAATGGCGCATTATTTATATAAATTCTTTAAAATTATACAAATTTTTCTAAATTAATAACTTTCAGCAAATTCTAACATTTTTTATGTCCTTCTTTGTTCAAAGTCTTAGTTGATATATCAGCTGCGTTCCCTAATAATAACACATATTCAACACCACATTCTCTTAAAGTTAACTGCGTTGAAATTAAATCTTTTTAGCCGCTTGACACATCGCAAACAAACAACGTGAGCTTTTTTGAATCATATGTTATGATGAAAACAACATATAAATAAGTTTTCTGGTCAGTGGTATCGAAGCCCCAGTCAGCATCTACGTACATATAAAGGTGCATTCATACCAAAGCGAAGGCTTACGAGCGACCGAACTTTTGCAGATACGATAACCTGCGAATATTCCTTTGGTGTGGATGCACCTTAAGGTGTCCATTATTTATATTGTATTTATTAACACAATTTCCAGATCTTTTTAAATATATAAAGACACGTTTTGCTGTCATTAAATGTACCCTGTGCGAATGAGTATTAGACTGCGACAATTTTGTTGTGGTTTTCAATTTTTAGCCTTAAAATCATTGTTAGAAAACTAGTGTATTTTCCCAATAGTTTTGAATGTCACTGCCAATTTCCTTAACACACTCGCCAGTAAAATTCCGCTAAAACAATATCACTAGGTAGTGTAGTCACTACCTTTTTTCTTACCAATTCGTCGACACATATATTTTAATGTATGAAAACTGTACCTCTATCATCCTCCCTTTCAATTTGCATATCTAAATAAAATATAGCCCGCCTGAGATCTGTTGTTTCAATATATTTATTCAGTCAATCACCAATATTTTGCAAATCGCGGCACTCATCTCGCAGAGAGTTTTTTCATGTCCAAATATTCGTGTATATTTTCCCATTCAGTTGATATACCTACAGTATGAACCAACTCACGCACTTTCGATCATCCAATATCATTTCATGCATTTTATCGACCATTTCCGACGTGATCACTTCTTTTATTTTGCAAATCGTTCTTTCATAAGCATCCCAATAGCATATCGTCTATGTAGAGCGCAACTAGCATCATGTATCTCCTTGTCTTTTTATGTAAACGCAATTGTGTATAAAGTGCTTTTTGAGCCTGTCTTCTTTTTGCCTTTATTTTATTTATTTTCGAAAATTGATGACTTCCTTTTATTTCGTCATCTAAATAGCATTTCGTTTTTGTATTGACATAAAAGACCACTAAATCATGTTTAGCCGCTAAGGCTAATATCAACTGAATGCTAGTGAATCTCAAAACAAGAATAAATTTGTCCGTAAAATCTGTGCATAGCCCTGATCACGAATCTCACTTAATTCAATGGGTTAAATTTCAATGGAGTGATGTTAGGTGGTTTACTAAGAAAGTAGTTAAACTTTATTAAATTATTAAAAAGAAGAGTGTGGTTTTTATTTGAAGTTATTAAACTTTAATTAATATCTGAACGGTCAACTCTTTTTTTATATTATTAAATTTAGCTTTATCTAAGGAAATTTGTAAAGATCGGTGGATACTTCATTCCTAATATACCATGGGGCACTAGTGACTCTTTTCAGTATTTTTGACTAACCTCTTTGTATAATTTCAATATTTGAAGCACTAGCATTACCAAATAGCTGGATACCATAAGTCTATATTGGTTTTGTGATGCTGTTATACAAGAGTACAAGAGCACAGGGAAGATCTGTTATTAATGAGCCAATGCAACTTGCAGGCTTGGAGCTTTATCTGAATTTTTTTGGCCTCAATATGCTTGCGCCAAGTTAGTCGTCTGTCTAGGTAAATACCTAACTACGTTATATTACCTACTTGTGATATGGGAATGTTATTTAATAAAAATATTAGAGATACCTATACTCCGATTTAAGGTAAATATGATTAATGACATCTGATACCTAATGGGGTATCAGATGTATGAAGTACATACAAGATAGAGCCAAGAACACTTCCTTAAAACAAGTAGAACAAAATAATTTAAATTTGACTTTAAAACTTCTGTTCTGTAGATACGATTCACTTGCACAACAGTTTCATCTTTTTCTCTAAAACCAAACTGATGAAAGGGTACTAGGTTTTGACCATCAAACAATGGTTTCAGCTTTAAAAGCAGTGCTCTTTCAAAGAGTTTAGAAAGGCCTGACAGCAAGGCCTGACAGCAAGGCCTGACAGGAGAATATGCTGGATGGGGTAGCAATTCGTATCCCAATTCGTGGATCTTGGTCATCGTGACTAGACAAGTGTGCGCACTTGCATTGTCTTGATGGAACAGCACTTTCTTCTTCGCCAAATGCGAACGTTTTTGCTTCAAATCAAAGTCGAATCTGTTCAAAAGCTTTGAATAATATTCGCCGATGATCGTTTTACCTTTCTCGAGGTAATCGATGTGAATGACACCGCTTGCATCCCAAAAACATGTGGCCATGACGTTGTTGGCTGACAGACTCTGTTTGGCCTTCTTTGGTCCACATTCACTCCTAGCAACCCACTGTTTCAATTGTTTCTTGGTCTCTGGCATGATGTGCTGAATCCATGTTTCGTCCACAGTAACAAAACGGCGCAAAAATTCGTTCGGATTACGGATAAACATCGCTAAACACTTTTTTGAAGTGGTCACACGATTGCGGTTATGGTCGAGTGTGAGCAATCGCGGCACCCATCTCGCAGAGAGGTTTTTCATATCCAAATATTCGTGTACAATATGATGTACCCGTTCAGTTGAGATACCTACAGCGACCTAATGCCGGTGCGACCAGCACTAATGATGCTGTAAACCACTTCTTAACCATTGATGGTGCCGTTGTCCCCGTTGTATTTATCAAGTCTTTCCTTAGTTAGATTTTTTACGTAAAAAGTAATGTTTAATCAGCATACAAAATTCACTTTTTTCCATCTTCGTAAAAATTCACGAGGTTGTCTGCTTTGAACAGCTATCAAACACCAACTGAACGACGTAGCTTGCTGAAAATTAAAAAGTTGCCGACTGATAGATTACAACTGACGGCAGCACTGTTGCATTTGGAGTAACTGCACGGGAAATTCAAAAAGCCACTGACTTATCAAACCGCCCTCGTATGTTACAAAGTAAGGTTGACACTAAAAAATACCAAAATGTCGATTGTCTGAAACAAGTCATAAGCCGAAAATAGGCCAAAATACCGCAAAATGTCTTGTATTATTTGTTTAACAATTTTATTTCGAGTAATTAATGAAATGGGTAAATTATTAAACAAATTATTTCCGTTGTCTCAAAACTATTTTTTAGTAAGTCAATAATCCCTACATTCGTAAACGATCTTGGATGAAATGTTAACTTCTGAAATAAATTTGATAGCCTAATTTCAGTTAGAACAAAGTCGTTCTTGAAAGTATATGTCCAAAGCGAATACAGACTCTTAGTATGACGAAAATGTTTGCCTGATATATTGAAATTGGAAAGGTGGTAGGATTATTAATTCCATAAGCGTGAATTGCCATCACTCCTTGCTTTTTAATCAGACTTAACTTCCAATTCCTCTTGTGGAAGTTCTGGTGGCAAAGTTATTATCAAAGTACAAGCGAAGACATAAGTGATCCGATTAGAATAGATTAATACAATATCACAATATATCATAGTGTCATTAAGTGTCAACAGCTCAGATCTTTCAGTCTTTGTATACTGTGAGCAAATGTTGATTTATTATGAATTCCACTGGAATAAGTATCTACGGGGATGATACAAAAGAAAATGGAAAGTGTAGGATTGACCCTGGTCTCCAATTCTCTAATCACGCTTATTTGAGCTGGTTACTACCAATGATTTTATTATAGAGCAGTCTATTAAGTTTATCCCAATTAGACTTCCTAGGATTACTTTGAGACTGTTTAGCTAATCTGAAAATATCTGTTACAAATATGATCAATTTTTGGAGGAGTTTTTGGTTAATACTCTCCAGTCATTGATGCTAAGATAATATCAAAAAGAAACTCAACCTATTGATTGATTTCCAAACTTCCCTACCGAAAGTGCCAATCAACAGCATCACAATCCATCAGCGAACTTCGGTAAACGCGTGGTAATACAATTGGAGGCGTTTCATTATGTTTCATGTAGGCAGATACATTTAGAATTGATGACTTCTGCATCCGCTCTATTCTGGTGACCTCAAACGAGCTTAAATGAAAGCAAAGAAAAGCATTTTTGTTAAAATATATGACCTAGACCTACCCTATCCTTTGTATTAGAAAAGATTATAACCGTTCATTTGACGTATGCGTTACGCATACGGCTCCTATATTTAACGATCGATGTGTTTTTATCTGAAAATGATTATCAGAGTGTCCGCTGGATCCTTCGAATACTTTAGATTTATTTGCACGATCTTGAAAATGAGTACATCTAGGATATTATCTGCTTAAATATTTTTGATTAAGTTAATTTTGGTCGTTCTCACGTCAATCTCATGCAAGCATTCTTCGTTAGTCAGAATGAGGAAGGATTGTCTGTGTTTTTGCGGTTCATCGTTCTTAAAAACCGTCCTTAACATTACGTACCTGATCATCCGAAAACATCTGACTAAATTTAAGCAATCAAGGAAACGGACTTTGAATTGATCGTGAGATCTGTCATGACCAATTCGGACAGCTTGATTCAATTAACGCCCACCTTGTGTAATAACACGAATTTGTTGGCGTTGTAGTTTGCTTGGGTAACCTCAGCCTTTACCAAAATCGTTGAATTAAATTTATGGATTGAAACCAAAATATTCAAAGCCGTATTTTTTCAGGTTTTTGTTTCGATTTTATTCGAAAATAAAAGCAAATAGATGAAGAGGTTGTAAAATTACACATAACTAATATAAAAATGATTTGTTATTTAGTCAATGCCACGAAAGACCGTAATGTTACGTATATTGTTTTCAGTAATATTAAATTTGATATCCTAGCACACCGCGATGTAAAATTTGCGATGTCTAAAAATGTGCAATTGTTCTTATTTATAAACTATATTATTTCATATTTCGACTTCAAAAATTTAATTCAAGATGTGCAATCAAATTTTTCTTATAACGATCATAATTTTTGTAAGAAAAGTTTTGTCAGCATTTAGGGAAATGCTAAATATTAAAGATTTCAATATTCATCGTGCCAAAGAGTTAGTTGCTTTTCTAAAAATGCACAATTATTATTATTACTAACTAAATTCCTTTCAAATATTATTCTAATGTATAATTACTAAAATATTTTTTTAATGAAATATATATATATATATTCAGTATATTCAGAAAAATATTTATATTTGAAATTTATCTATATTAATTATAATATAAATTTGACATATGTATATATACAAAAATATTTCTTTCGAGCATTGAAAACGTTTTTAAATTTGGTTTATAGGAATGTTAACATTATATAAATATATTTGTATTCACTTGTATCACATTTATTCACCACAATCAATATAAAATTGTAAAGTAATTACTAAAAAAAAAACCGACATAGTAAAAAAGAAAAAAAATTAGATGAAACTTCCAAACAAAAATAACGTATACTAATTTAACAAATTTATTTAATCTGTTTAAATAATGTGTTTAAAGTGCACTAAAAATAAATTATTATTAATTAAATTAATTTTTTAAAATACCCAAAAACAAATATTGTACTCCATAATTTGGTTTATATTCCTTAGGTTTTTATATATATCGTTTTAATATTAATTTAGTGTTTATTACTTTACAGGTTTATACAAATAAGTGAATATATTAAGTATTTTACTTCGCTATTTTTAAAACTAGGTATTTTTGTGAATGGGTTCCACGGATTGTTTTTTAAGTATTTGACTTTCTTCCGCAGATTCACTTTCGCGAGAAGAATAATTCCACTTTTGAATCTCAGCAGTCGCATAAATTTGATAAACAACATATGTTAAAATTGCTACAACAGATGATACTGCAAAAACTGTTCGCCATTGTTCGATAGAGTTCTGTGAAAATAAAATTTTTTATTTATTCTGTTAACGCCAAAATAAATACGAAAACTTACCTCGTTTTGTACAATAATGCCCGAAACTAATGGAGACAAAAATGATGCTGACATATGGATTGTTTGACAAAAAGCTAATACCGAACCAGCTAGATTTGGGGCTATATCAACAATATTGGCCATGGCGCCTGCATACGACGCTGTTATGTAGGTAACTGCTGTAAACCACATAACTAAAAGCAGTGGAATGTTATTATTAACGTAACCAATACAGTATAGTAATATTCCAGGAACAATTTGAGAGAGAGCTGTAAAAATTTTTCTAACATTAGTTAGACTTAACCATCGATGAATTACTATTTTATCGGCTATATAGCAGAAAATCACTGATGATATGTAGGAACATATAAATGGCATTCCTGAAAGGAAACCGTTAGCCTGATAATCAAATCCTAATATATTTTTTATGAAATTTGGGCCTTCGATAATAAAAACATAGTGTATCCAAATACGACCAAACGTTGTAATTCCTATAGCCCAAGCTGGCATGGAAGTAAAAATTTTTTTCCATGGGACTTTTCTTTGGTTCGATTCCTGAATATCAAAACTTATGTTCGTTTCAATATATTCAAGTTCATTCACGGTTATGCGCGGGTGTTTCCTTGGTGTATTAAAAGCTAAGAAATACCACAAAATACACCAAATGACACCGAATGAGCCAGTCGTATAAAAGACGTAACGCCAGCCAAATTTTTCAATCAAAAAGCCACAAAGTGGATAAGTAAGTCCGATTCCAATACTAAACCCTTGGAAACTTGACATAAAACGTGCACGTTCTGATAACGGTATCCAGTATCCGACAATTGCATACATAGCAGGCCAAGTCAAGCCGGAAGCAAAACCTTGAATTGATCTCAAAACTATCACAGCAGTATAATGAATATCAGCTGCAGTTGGTATGCATAAACTACATAATGCTGTAGCAAACTGCGACCAGCCAAAAACAAGTTTTGTTCCAAAATACTGAGTAGCAACACCCCCAACAACTTGCGATAAAACATAACACCAATAAAATGAGCCGAGAATTATAGATTTTACTGTTGAAGACCACTCGTAGCTGTCATTAGGCTATAAGGCGTAATAAGCGTATTAGAATTAAAATAAAACATATTTATAAATATTATAACTCTTACATCGTAAAATTGTTTTTCAGAAACTGTTAAATTTAATATATTAGTTGATACATTAGCTGTTATATATGTTTCTGTTACATTTTGAATTGTATTCAAATCTCTATCATCGTAAGTGTGGTTTGTAGATTTCCGAATCATTGCTGTTATTGCAAAATTAATATCATTTCGCATGATAAAGGACACCAAAAATCCCGACCAAGACAAAAAATAGAGCACCAACCGCGCAGGTATTTTAGCTGCAAAAAAATATTAAACCAACATCTTTTAAGTTACATAACAACATAATTATATAAATATATATATTATATACATAACATGATATTGTATTGTAAAATTAGGTAAATGTGATATTAGCAGAGACCGTAACAATTAATAATTTTATGATAAACATCAACTAATAAGTGTTATTTCACTTTTTAAAATAAAACTAAACAAAAATAGTTAATAAATTAGTCTTATATAACGTTTACAGTCTGAGATTAACAATAGTCATTATTGCTCTGAACTACTTTAAAGCTAATTTTTATTTGTTATACCTCACGTAGATTATTACTAAAAACCAGTGTTCGTATTTGCGTACCCATGAGCGGCTGATTTCGGCTCATTCTGCTCACGGCTCATGAGCTGGCAAAAAACTCTTTTCATACGATGGCTCACGCTCACGAGCGAGCCCAAATACAGAGGTCGCGCTCACGCTCACGAGCAAGAGCCGCCATTAAGTTATAAATCGGCTCACGCTCGTGAGCAAGAGTATGAGCTACGGCTCATGAGATATGAGCCAATTATGGACTCACGCTCAAGAGCCGATTTTGTGCTCGCATAAGATTTGGCTCTTGCTCATGAGCCTGAGCTGCTCATAAGTGAGCAAATACGAACCCTTCTCAAAACAAAACAATTATTTGAGTGTTTTGGTTAAAACTTTCTTACAATTTCAGCGAGAATTATTGATTTTAATTAAATAATTATAATTATTTGATTATAACATATAATTCATTACATTAAACTTGTTATTTTTTCAACTCAAAATAAATAATTTAAAATCAGACAATAAACTTTTGATACCATATAGTAAACACATTTCTAACTCCAATTTGTAGGATTTTTCTTATAATAATTTACAATAATGTACAGAATCTTAAAAACTTAATAATTCTGTAATATAGCAAATACCGTACTGTCATTAAGAACTTCTTTTGAATGAACAGATGTCGTGCTCGTTTCTTTCTAACTAGAGAAGGTGACATATTTGAATTTGAACTTAATTACTTTAGTTCGCCATTTTACCCACCATCATTCTTAATAAAATTAAAGACGTTTTTGGAATGACATTGTCACCGACAAAGGTTGTAACAAAGTTGTTTGAGAATAATGGTAGGTCAGCAGAATAAGTTAAATATAGAGCGCACAAAGTACACTGCACTCTGGAACACCGGTTGTTACCTCAAATTTCTCCACGACTATGTCAACATATGACCTTTACGACATAGCTTATCAAAACTCTAAGCAAATATTCTTCACCTGAAAAACTTCGTGCAATGCCTTGTTCATTCTACGCAATTACTTGATTGTTAAAAGTTACTTTTTTCTGGAATACAGACTGGTGAGTTGGTTTTATTTTTTTTTGGATATTGGGGGTAAAATATTTATTGGAGTGCAAGATATTACAACTCCAGAATATTTGTGATGTCATTTTGCCAGCAACTTAATCATAATCAAGAGTTTATTGAAACTTACGTTGGTAAAAGCATCCTTCAATCCCCAAAAGCTTATTTCAAGATTGTAGCTTACATCCGCTAAAAGACGTAAGTACATTTACTTAAATATTAACAAGCTGTAGGTTTGGTTCAAAAATATATTGCAGATTTCCTTAGGGTACGAGCCTAACATCGATCATGTTTGCGAATTAATAGTTTAAATTCCATTGAAGATTTGAATTTGTTTGTTTCTTTCCATAAAGAATAATTGTTTCGTCTAGATGGTCTTTACACTTTTAGAACACCTGTAGAATTATGGTATGACTTAAATAATCGGTGGTTTTATCATGAAAGCTGTACTCAGCTGCGCCATTATGAATGGACTTGACTTAATATTCATATTAGGTTTGTTCGGGAATGCAACTAAATAAAGTAGTATATAAAAAATTGCATTATAAACAAAAAAGAATAAAAATTCAGAAGTTGCATTTATGAACATGCTATAATACTACATTTCCGATTAAACCGTTCCTTATTTTTTAGGTTTGGTGTTTGGATAAGCAGTTCAAAGGCTTAATCGATTTCATCTTTCGATTAAAAGTGGTGATGATAAGAACTTTAGAAAACATGTTATAAAAGTCGCTTATGACATTTAATATCACCAAAGTTTATTTATCACTTATGAAGGTATGATTTTTATAAAGTCACTGTTCAAAAAAAAAAACAAAGTACACATAAATATACATTTAATTCAAAAACTTCATCACGATATTTTGTTTTTGGGCCGAATATACGATATAACAGTTATACTAACCATTTTGATTTAGATAGAAATAAATGCAATATGAACAAACGAATATTTATCATGAACGCCATTACAAATAAGACCTTCGGAATTAAATAAAACTCTGCTTTTCGATATACCAAAGTGTAGCTTGTCAGTAAAAAGTTAGTTTTTCTATATAATTCAAGTTTTGGCCTATTGGTAACACTAAGCTTTTTTAATTAAAAGTGTGGCATTCGTTAGCACTTCGCTCTAAAATTATGCAGCGTGATCTATCGATAGCATTTGGTTTTAAGATCACACAGTATGGTCTATTGGTAGCACTCAGTTATTAAATATACTAAGTTTTCCCATCGGTAGCACCTAATTTATTTTTAAATTGACGAAGTCTTTCAGAGGATACGGATAAAATCACCGACACTTTCACTTGGGATTCTTATGGGTATATTAATGAAATTTTTCTTAAAAACCACCGACTAAAGACTCATAGATAACTAATATAGTTTCTTACCGTAGAAGGTGTACGCTATATATACTTATATACTTATACTTATTTCTTTTGAGATAATGTATTGTGCTGGATAGATGTTTCTTGAATTTATAGTGCTGACAGAGCTGGTGGTTCTTTTTATAGATATAAAAAATGCTTATAGAAGGTGTATTCCTTTAAACTTCTAACCGATAATATTGTGCTTTTTTGTTTGTATTTAGATTCTTATCAGCTTACAGACCCGAACAATTAAACGCATTTATTTAAAAATGTTGGCAAATATTTCGTTCGTTATTTAAGAACTTCATCAGTGCTATATAATAACAAACATTAATTTAAATATAAAATACTAACATCAAAATATATGTTATATACCTTATTTTTTATAAAATGCAGTAATTTTTTGTTCCACAATAGTCATTAGCAATAAAAATTGAATTAACAAATTAAAATAAAAAATTAAAACAATTAAAATTCACACATTCAAACTTAATACACAATTTTTTTTGGACATAAATAACTAGTATAACATAACTAAAAAATTTAATAACATTACGCCAAAAATAATAATAATAACAAACATTCTCTTTTTTATCTCTTATTACTCAATCAGTAGAAACCCAACAGCTGACTTTTATTTTCTTTTATCTCTTATTTTTGATTAACTTGTATTTATCCAATAAATTAGAGTAAAGTGTGCTAAAATTATCCGTGTCTCTCTTGTAGTTTACCACCTGTTCATTATTTAATATGATGTGAATAACTTCATTCATTAATCTTTTATGATAATTATTTTCAATTTCCAGAATTATTATTTCATCAAAGTTAAAACTATGTCCTTTAGAAATAGAATGTTCAGAAAGAGCTGTTTTTTCCCATCATCTTTACGTTTACACGTACTTTTGTGTTCACCAACTCTTTTTGCCAATCTTTGTTTGGTTGTTCCTATATAAGCTCCATTGCAATCATTACAATTGATCTTATAAATAAGATTTGACAAATTTTCTTTCTTTTCTTTGTCTTATTTAAACAGACGATAAACTACATCATATCAATATTGTGCTTTACTGTTTCATCCTGCCACGTTAATTAAATTGCACAAAATAAGAGGTAGATTTTCCTGAACTGGAACAACTTTTCTATGATTTTAATAAACATATTTACTGTGTTGTTGAGAACTTGAATGCCCATGTAGTAGATAAACAAGTACTGGATGGTGATTTAGTATTTGATTTCCCACTTGTTGCCGTGAGAAGAGTATCAAAAAAATGTGAATCTCGACACCAGGGAAAGAGAACTTGTGAGCTCATTGGAGAATATCAGAGGTGTTATAATTAACGGCAGCTGTTGAGATGATAAGGATGGTAAATTTACATATATAAAATAGCATAAAATGGATCCACGGTTATTGATTTTTGTTTCTATTCATTTTATTTACGTACATATATACAGGGATGCTGACGAAAATTGCAACAAAGTAAAACGCTCTATTTTATTTATTTTTGTTAAATTTAATGAAAAGTAAATGAAAATATGCGAAAAGAACTTTAAATTTTTAAGTTAATTTACATTGGTTTAATATAGCTTTATCTAGCATGAATTATGACCTTCATACGGTCAATGAAGCTATCGCACGCTGCCCGCTAATGGTTTTACGGTATTTTGGCCTATTCTTGGCTTATCGCTTGGTTCAGGCGATCGACATTTTGATATTTTACTTTCCTAACCTTACTTTATAAAACACCCCAGACCGATAAATCTTAAAGATTTATAACAGGTGAGCACGGTGGCCATTGTGTTCATGGAATTAAGCACAAAACGTTGTTTTTCAGTCATTGTTGATCGACTTTCAGCACCTTTGTGCGAAGGTGCTGAATTCTGTTGGAATGTCCAACGCCTGTGACCCCAATACTTATCTTCCTAGAACTTTAGTGCTTCCTCTATAATAATTTCAGATAGATTTGGATGTTTATTTTTACCCCACGGTCGATGGACACGAGCGAGAGCGACTATCGGCCGTTACGGCTGCCAGCAACATCACCATCAGTGGCGCCTGCTGACAAGTAAACTCGATCATTTTGCTTGTTTACGATCTCCGCAATTACGAATGGTGACTCAACAAAAATAATCTAATTTGGTAACCGACCAAACGAACCAATACTTTGGCTCTTTCGACTATTACTTTTTTGTTCATCGGTGAGATCGTGCACTTTGTTTAACTTCAATGGCTTTAGTCCGGCCACATTTTTCAAAATGTGTTGCATCCTTTCACGTGACACGTTCAGCTCCTTTGCGATTTGATTGCAGCTACGGTGTGGGTTTCGCTCAATTCGTTTCTTAATTTTACGAATAACTTCTGGTTTTTTCTGTTTTTGTTTTGTTCCAATTCCTGAGCGTCAGGCAAAGCTACCAGTATCACAGTATCGAGCTATGGTACAAGACGCAAATAATTTGTTCACATTTAGGTGTTGTGTCCTACTTATCTTGCCGATTCTTCAGAGTAAAATATAAAGGTGCGTACTCAACACTTGAACCAATTGAAGCCGGAGTACCGCAGGGAAGTATACTTGGCCCAATTCTGTACCTAATTTACACAGCCGACCTGCAAGTCTCACCAGAAAGTGTTATTGCCACGTTTGCAGATGATACAGCGATCCTTACCACTGGAAACACAATAAACGAATCAACAGAAGCAACGCAGCGTTCCATTGATCAAATTATTAGTTGGACTAAAAAATGGAAAATTGAGCTCAACCAAACGAAAACCGTCCATGTAAACTTCACAAACAAAAAAATTGAATATTTGCCGATAAATATGTGCAGTGCTCAAATACCATACTCAAACACAGCTAAATACCTTGGCATGAACTTAGATGCTAAGTTGAAATGGAAAGAACATATAAAGAAAAAACGAGTTGAATTAGAATCCAAATACAAAAATTTATATTGGCTTCTTGGGAACAAATCACCCGTCTCTCTAAACAATAAATTAATGGTATACAAGCAAGTCTTAGCTCCGGTGTGGACGTATGGAATCCAGTTATGGGGTTGTGCACCAAAATCCACTATTCAAATCATTCAAAACTTTCAAAACAAAGTTTTAAGAAACTTAGTCAACGCTCCGTGGTTTATTAGGAATACTGACCTCCATCGGGACTTGAAGATCGAATCTGTGGCTGCAGTAATCCAGAAGTTCGCGGTAAAGCACCAAAAACGATTACAACAGCATCCAAACGAAACAGTCAACCATCTGTCTAATACATCTGGCCTGCTGAGAAGACTTAAACGAACAAAGCCTTCAGATCTACTCCCGAATTAGTAGACTAATAATAATTTAGATTACTACTATTAACACTAAGTCTTTGACAACTTCACAATTCTAATAAGTATACTGAAATGTAACAAAACTGCTTGATAGTTCTTGCATGAACTAGTCGTAGTCAAATGAAACATGTATTTATATTATTGTACATATTGTGTTTCAAATAATAAACAAAACAAACATTTAGGTGTTGTAGGGCTCGAACGATAGCCACTTGTGTTTTGCCAGCCAATATAAAGCAATCAAACTATCACGTTTGAACTCTTTCATAAAAGTCGAAAAATCTTCGTACACTTATAAACAAAACAATGAACTGTCAACTGAATAATTTTTGAGCTTTTTGTCATCGGTGAGAAAATTGTTGCAATTTCCATCAGCAACTCCGTATATGCTCTTTTCAAGTTCTTTGTAAATCATATTCCAATCACATGCCGCTCGTTATTGAGTTCCGTTTTCCCTCAAATGTGGAAGTAATTGCAAATAACGTGCGAATTCCGAAAAAATTACATTGAAAGGAAGCTTATGCAATTATATACAGGGAACTACTTGTTCTGATTAGTAGTAGTAGTGGCTTTATTTTTTTACTTCATTTTAAAGTTATTATATTACATCGAAATTATATAATAATTATAATATATATAATTATAATAAATATACATAAAGCTTACAGCTATGGCATTTTAGCCGTCTGCCGACTTGTTCTGATTATATAAATTCTAATATGCAAATTTATCCTAATTTAGACGTTTTCGAAGTATCGGATGGACAGTTCTCAAACAAGCATTTTAAACCAAAAAAATTCATTGTTTGACAACTATTGTCAAGAATTAGGAAGGAAGTTTTATTTCCTTAATTTAGTTAGAAAATAGAATATTGAAAGCTATCGTTCTTTTTACTTAGCACCCATATCTCGTTATGCAAACCTTTGCCGCAATAAAAAAACTTCAATTGAAATCAAATAATATTGAAGCATTAAATACTATTAAACGCGTTTATAATTGGTGGTAGCTTGCGAAAAATTTGAAAATAAAACCTCTTAAAGTAGTTACTTTCTACAATGTGAAATTTCATGTGAAAATATGAAAACGAATACCAAGACAGATTTCACAGATACAACGCAACGGTCGATAACATTCTCAATTTGACCTCTATAATACACTTAAATCTAAAGAACGATAAGAAAACAACATATGCCTACTTTGGGTTTGTGTCACAAGTTTTTGATTACAGTAATGAAATTATACTCGAACACCAGCAGTTGCGTAAGGTACGGTAATCTTATGTCTTTTTCAGCCCGATTTTGTTTTCCTTATACATAAACAATCTGCATGACGCTATAACGGGTGGAGTACATATCAACTAAAATTATATAAAAGTACTTTTGTATGCTAATGATGTGATTGTGCTTACGGACTCACCTGAAGTATTGCAAAGTATGATAGATGATATGTTTAGGTATTGTTTACAGTGAGGTCTCATCGCTAATCCATATAAATCTAAGATTATGATTTTTAGAAAAGGTCCTAATTCATTGAAAATTCGGGGAAAAAGCAGGTAAAAATAATTAAGGAATATAAATCTCTTGGAATATTAATTATCTGTAACCTCTCTGTATAAAACTATGCATAATTTTTATTACAAAAACACTCAGCACATATCGAGCATACTTTTTAAAAGTAGATGCGGTGTTTAACAGAGAATTTAATATATTTGAGAGAGAGTCAGAGAACATAGACGTATTTTTTTTCATAAAGCACTTCAGTCTGAAGATGTAGTTAAGCTCTTGTTGAATGGTAGCAATACTAATAACCTGTACAAACTTATAAGAGTTTTATATTACAAAAGAGTAATTTTTGAAGAATTTTTATAAAAAATAATGTTAATAATATACATCACTTTTTCGTTTGAGAATCTGACACACAACAAATATGTTATTGTCAATTTGGATTTTAAGTAAAATTGTATAATTTTTTGTAATTGTAGTGTCATATTTTTTGAACCAACAATAAATAATAATAATAATAATCGAGAAATAAATGAATACAGCAAATCTTCAATAAAATGTGATAACTTATAGGAATATTTTTGATATTCGCAGATAAAAATTATTCCCATCAATTGTAATTTTCATTGACAGCCAAGAGGCTATCAAAACACGTCAATATTTTAGCAATCAGAACTAGTATTAGAATATAGGGCAGACATAAGCTAACTCAATCGAATGGTGAACTTTATTTTCATGTGAGTTTTCTTTCATTGAACGAAACGGAAAAAAAGATAATCGTTTTCAATTAAAAATAAATGAAAGTAATTAACAATTTTAATTTAATAAAACCAGGTACAGGGCAACTATTAACTAGGAATGAAACCATATTGCCTGTCAGGTTCTTTCAGGTCACTGGTAGGAACCCACCAGTCAGGCTCTACGAAGACTCCTCAAAGTACCATGGTAGATCCGCACGAATGCCATGCTAAGAGACCTTAGAATAGATTAACAATTTTTATTTAATAAAACCAGGTACAAGGCAACTATTAACTAGGAATGAAACCATATTGCCTATCAGGTTCTTTCAGGTCACTGGTAGGACCCCACCAGTCAGGCTCTACGGAGATTCCTCAAAGTACCATGGTAGATCCGCACGAATGCCATGCTAAGAGACCTTAGAATAGAACCGGTCAAAAAATACATAACAGACAGAGCCCTGAAGCTTATGCGAAAACCGATAGGCTAAAACCCTACTTAGCACTATCTAATCTCAAAGTAATCACTAACCGTACGCAGCGGTAAGTAGATCTTAGATCAGTCATTGACTAATCACGAACCTTGGCAGAAATACACAAATTAGTCAGTGAGATGGGTGGGACTCTGCAGAAACCCCCCAGCTATCAAAGAGTAAAAGTGCCTAGCTGCACTAACTCAGAAAAGTTGCTTTGCTGATAAGATAAAGTAAAGATGTTAGCTTTAGCTATGCTTTAACTATTTAGCTATGAAGTTTATATAAGCTTCAAACAGAGTTTTGAATCTATTTTGAGGTTTTCATATACATTTTCTCAACGAGCCTAGAAACCAGTCGTGCTGATTTCCCTGTTTAATAATTCATTAGCAAATATTACCTGAGTAAATCTTGGATTTTCTTTAATATTGAACTTCACAGAGCAGCACAAATGAAATCACTTAGAGACGATCACAAGCGATAGTGCATATTTCCACAGGCTTAAGGCTACTCTGAACTCCGTAAAGAATGGCAACCAGAATCTTTTACTACGATAACTGTGGAATTTGCACCCTTCGTAAGACATAAAGATTATCGACATTACTATTTCGGATCTGTTGATGTTAACTTGATTACATTATCACCGCCAAAATTATAAAATTGAACTGTACGTCACCACATTTGTTTATACGTACTGGTTACCATTTTGATTATAATATACTTAAATTACGTTTTGCTATAAGATTCAGTGAGCTTAAAACCACATAAATAAAATACAATAAATTCACATACATAATGAACAAATTATACCTTACTGAATAGAATATGAATTTTAAAACTTACCACCAATTATATTACAAAGGTGCAGGTACCGACATCTTGGATTGATTACTGCATCTTCAGTTGTAGAGTAAGACACTTTGGATGAACGTTTTTCTTCATGTGAAGTGTACATTGTTACAAATTTAACAATTGCTCTCGTATCTGAATTCGTACATGCAGATCAGTGAAAGGACGGAGTATGTAAAGAAATTTTTTCCAAAACTGAAAAAAAAAATTCACACTTAAATTAATGTAACGTTTATCCCAGATCCATAATGTAATATAAGTATATTTATAGTAATTCTAATAATTCAAAAAATTTATCGATCATACAAATAACATACACTTAAAAGATAATTCTTCAGTCTAAAAATCGAACAAGAATCTATAACTATAATGAATCTAATTAAAAAAACAATACTCTTTGCTCAGTGTGAATAGACTAATTCAATTTCAGTATGTTTTGGTTTTGAAAGTATATTTCTTTTGAAAAATTTTCTTAGTGATATATATTACATACATGAAAAAATGAAGAAAAAATTTTATACAAACGTTTTCAGGTTTCAGGTGAAACAAATTAAAAAATTGAATGTATTTTATGCATAAACAAACTACAATGGTGCTAAATTTACTAAATAAACCCATTTTAGCTTGTAGTTGTAATATCGACTAAGTATTTGAACATTTAAACCCCAGCTCTTTAATTATAAAGAATACAAGCTGCTGTTTTGTGTAATTTCAGTTTATTGATTATAACCGTATTCTATTTATACAAAATCAATCTTGTCGAGATACAAGTGATATATTAACTGCTATAATTTGGTCAGTAGGTATCAGAATTCATATTTGCGCACCATGAGCGACTCTTTTCGGCTCATTCTGCTCACAGGTCATGAGCAGGCAAGAAACTCTTTTCATATGACGGCTCACGCGAGCGAACCCAATTGCAAAGCTCACGCTCATGAGCAAGAGTCGCCATTAAGTTATAAATTGGTTCACGCTCATGAGCAAGAGTCCGAGCTGAGACTCACGAGACTTCATGCACTGCTTACTAGAAAGTGGTGCATGCCAGAAAATGAAAAATATATGGTATTGTTGTTGTCTTCAATATTTATTTGAATTTTGTGCGTTTACTTAATTATTTTAATCATTTTATATTAATTCAAGAGTTTTAAACTATATTATATAGTGCTTCGTATTGCAAAGTATTTCAAAGTTTTACATGAATGTAATGAAACAATTTGCTTACAATGCGAAAAACAATGTATTATTTCATTACATTGTTCTAAAATAAATAGTAATAAGCTAAGTTAATTTTAAATTACGTTACGTATATAAAAATAAATAAAACAAACTAATCAAAAATAAATCGTTTTTTTATTGAACAGTTGAGCTCTCGGCTCGTGAGGCCTCATGAGCAGCTCTTCAATATGAGCAAACTGAATACTCACGCTGATGAGCAGCTCTTCAATATGAGCCACTTTTGAGCTCACGTAATAACTGGCTCTTGCTCATGAACCTAAGCTGTTAATGAGTAAGCAAATACGAACCCTGGAAGGTTTTGGTGAAATTGGTTAATGCCAGAGGCGAGGCGTCGAATAGTTCAGAGTGTTCACTGAACACCTTAACAAAGCTTCCTTTTTAGATCTTTTTTTTATTAGGTAAATAATCTCGCTATTTTGCTATTTAACATCTTTTATAATAGCTTTTCCAAACATATTAACATAAACACAAAACGTATAATACAAACAAAACCACACATACATATGTTAGTTACACCCAACATTACTTATAATTAATAAAATAGAAATAATTTACTTCAAATAAATTCCTCTTAAAATATACTAAGGTTCAGAATAAACAATGCTTACAAAGCATGCCAATGAAATAACATTCACATTGGGACTATGTTCAGTATTGAATAAACACAAAACATACAAACAAATATAAAAATAAAAGAGAAAACAAGCCGATCAAAATATGTACGTAAAATAACCATAACTCTTAAATTAATGCGTGCAAGCGGTACAATAAAAAAAGTGAACCTCCAATGTTATGCAAAGTAAATACACAAGAGAAAAGGAAAGACTGAACGAAAATCGCTTTACATTTGACAAGAGGTTCAATCGATTAAACTGAACCATAAGTTCATACAAAGCGTGCAAATACAATCAAAGTCACGGTTGCCGTTTTATATGAGCAAATGGTTCAAAGTAAAAGAGTAAATGAATGCATGAGAGTTTCTTACTCTTGTGTAGAGGTTGGAAATAAACCAAAAACAAAGTCATTATTGCACTTTTATACTAGCAAATAGTAAAAGTAAAGAAAAAAATTAAAGAAATTTGAAGTGAAAAATAATATTTAGAAATGGATAAATGTGTGATTAAAGATTTGATTCAAATATCTTTTTTTAAACAATCTTCTGAAAAAATGGTTTTAATTCATAAAACGAATAGACCACCTCCAGATATGAAGAATTTGGTACCTGTTGTAAAAATATCGAAATCTGTGATAAGTCGCCGTTTTCCTACAGCTGTTTACCATAAAAACCAGTGGATCACAGGCTGCGAACATTGACATAAATTGTTTTGTTGGTCTTGTACGCTATTTGCTTGTGGAAAGGACAAAACTCAGGAGTAGGTAGAATACGTTATAGTTGAAATTCAGTTTTGATCAAATTGTGAACACCTTGTCAAAAAGCTGACGCCTCGCTACTGGTTAATGCATTTTATATGTGAATAAAATAACACATAATTTAGCACAAATAAAAATAAAAGAAATCATTTATTTAGGTAACTTGATTGACATCGCTGCAATATTGTAGTCTGCATTGCGCTAACGGGATATTGGTTTAGGAGTTATGTCGACATCATTAGAAAGTGTTTTAGTCTGAAGTATTGATTAAACTTTTCACATGATAAATGCAAGTTGAATATTGTTGAAAGGCTCAATGCAATATAGTTGACCATATGATGGTCAATGATAAATACATGTACATATTTTTTTGAGTAGATTGCTGATCTTGTCTTTTAACGTTAATTGCAAACTAGTGAGCAGTTCAAAATTAGTTTTGAAGTATTTGAAGATTATTCTTTTAAATTTTAATACATTAAATTAATTGAGCAACTTAATGTATCCAAAGCTGGTAAAGGAGCTACATATTATATATGAGACTGAACCAGTTTCCGTATCAATGAATTAAGATAAAGTCATTTCAGAAGATAAGATATTATTTTTAGTATTGTATTGTTAGTATTCCTAAATCCATCTGCATAAACTGTTTCGGTTATGGTTATGTTGTTATTTTGGATGTGGCAAACATGATATTAATCCATTTGGTACTTGGAAATATTGGTATGAAGAATATTTTATCAGTCAAGTCCTATATATTACAACTTTGTGAAATTTTATTGTTGAAAAATTGAATTTCACACACAAACACACGATAATATTAAATGATCTTTTGGAATTACATACACTACATCATCGAGGTGTATATGTAATTACCCAAATTCTTTGCTGAATTTAATACATTGATCCCGATGTTAACTTACTATCAGGATATTAGTTTTTGGTTGTATAGCCACAAGATTACTATTCATGTTTGAGGGACTTGATTTAGTGAAAAATATGTTTACCATTTAATGATGAAATGTTTTTAGATTATGCCAGAAAACACGTTCATAAATTTTAATCAAATCAACACATTTCAAAGGCAAACACACCAATATTCACAATTGTCCCTTGGTAGTGAAAATTTCTGCTGCAAGTAGATCTGGCGTAAGTATTTGTAAATTTATTGTTTTATAATTAATATCTAAATATGTATCGTCTAAATATGTATCAATTCTATCTGAATGTGTAGCCAATTTGTCACTATTATATAAAGTAATACAGCAAGAACTATAAATTTTTATAACAGCCATAACTTGGCAGTCTATCTAAACTTTATTTAGGTTATTGACCATCATTTCATATCAAATTATTTATCTATTCGATTTTGTTTAATTATGTTGGTTGTCAATTCGATTACTGAAAATCGATTTTTAAGTAGTTTTCGGAGAATATTTTTTTTTTCACTTAACACTTTGTATCACTTTTTTACAAATTTATATATTTCATTATCAGAATTCAAGACTCCAAATAAAGTGAGTATCAAATTAGCTACTATATTCAATGCTCTTCATGGATTTCCACTTGACGACAGAAGATTTATTTTTTGTAATTGATTACAAGCAATTTTGAAGTTTTTAATAAGTACATTGCAGAAAAAATCTGCTGTCCGATATAAGCACAATTCACTCGAATTCCGTTTGCCAAGATGTTAAGTTATAGTAAAGGATAATTTTCCGAATTATAGTCAAGACATTTGAATTGGTGATGCAATTATCAGTAAAACAAATAATAGCGAATTAGTATTGTAATAAAACAGATTTTACTGATTGATTATTTTTGAGATTACTTCGTTGGTGAGTATCAGTGCGAATCCATGGATTGGCGACTTTAACACTTCTGACGATATTTTTCCTTCAACGACTTGAACCATGCCGCCATCATATTTGTGTAATTTATAAGTTCGACCAAAGAGCCATTGAAATAATAGATATTGTCTTCTTTTTTAACAACCAATGTAACTTCCTTCATATATGTTGATACTTGCTTCCAAAAATTGTGTTTTAATTTTGACCAATTCTTTATCTACGTTTTATTGATGACATGTTTACTGAAACATTTTTCCATATTCGAAAGTGGTTGCAGAAATAGATAATGAAATTGGCTGAAACTGTATTTTTGCAATTTCTTGATGTCTAAACCATTCTAGGTTTCAAACTCTTCACTGATTTATAAGAAGTTCAATACTTTACAAGGCATAGCTGCTTATAATCAAGTAAACTTAGAAGTATAGTTCTACAGAGAGAGTAATTTTGATGGCAGTAAAATGCGGAACAAAACTGCCTCAAAGCAACAATATGTGCTGGAGACAATCCTTGGTGGCAGCAAAAATTATCTCAAAAGATTACCTAAACTGAACTACACCAGTATCGCCAAGCACAAATGGTCCACCTGGGGGAGACCACTGATGATGAGTATTTGGCAATACTCGAAACTATGTAAGGTCATCCAAAAATTTAATTAATTAAAATAATATAAAAAAGAATTTTTGTTTTTGTAGTTTAATCCTAAAAAATAGCATTACTGTTCTCATGAATTCGGCTTTCGGAGCGCTATTAAGCGGTTCATTTTTTTACTCAATGATCTATTGATTGTAAAATTGTTGTAGACAAGTTTAATCGCGTTCCCAGTGATGATGTTCTTCAAAAATCTATCATTTCCTTAAAAAGTAAATCACAAATGTAAAGCCAATGATTCAAATTCCTTTTCGTAAGAACATAAGGAAACCGTATGTCGTGCTTTAATAAAAAGCCTTGACATTTTAATGTTAATGATCGATCAAATTCCATAAATTATAGATCTCTCAGAGATCTCACGAGCTATTTTCTTCTAGTTTGTATCAATTAACGTCTTATTATTATGTTCATCAGCTTTAACTCGTCTTTCGGAACATAGCGCAGCTTTCACATCCAAATTGACTGATCGAAGTTTTGCAAACCATTCTTGTTACCGGCATTCTGTCAATACATCTTCTCTATACACGTCACACAAAATTTTATTTTTGATTTTCTTTATTCTTCTTGATTTTTTTAATAGTTGTAACTCATTACATTATTGCAAATAAGTGCATTTTATATAATTTTTTAAAAATCGAATTGTCAAAGTATTATTAAAATTAATATATAAAATTAAAAACTAATTGGATTATTACTGTGGTCCTGAGAACGAAGACAATTCAAGCCATTTTTAACAAGAACACTATATAAAGCAAAAAGCGAAGTAATATCTGAGTTCGTTTATTTAAAAACTGATTTTCATTTTTCTTCGAACTGCTATTGTTTTAAGATCATTGAAGTTTTATGCAAATTACTGACTCTAGTCTCTTTCAGCCCAAAATTGTGCAATGAATTTTACCTGCACAATTCGTTCTACGTTGGACATCTACTTGTTTTCGTTATTCTTGTCCAAGGTAAATAAAAACTATGATATGTTATTTTCACACAGCGAGAGAATACCGGAACTTTAGCAGAAGTAAAATATTTTCATATTTTTAATATCAATTAAAATATTTGTTGGAGACTGAGCAGATCAATGAGGAGTTAAACACAAATTGTAGTAAAATATAGATAATACTAGGTATTAACAAGTGAATAGTCCTCCACTCGACATTTAAAAGTATCAGCAATAAGAAGAAATAGAAAGTATGGAATCTTGCGCCTGTTTGTTAATGTATAATAATTTTATACATCTGGGCGCAGTTGTCAATGTCAGTTTCAGAATTAACCCATTGCAGTTTTTAAAAAACCGTTATTTTTCTTTCTATTTATATGTATGTTTCATTCAGAAATATGTATATGTTGATTGGTTGTTTGATATGTAATTGTCAGTTTTCGAAATCGATTTTAGATTAAAGTCGATATATTTAATTACATCAATATTAATGTAAAATAATTTAGGTTATTTCTGTTTTTTTTTATTTGTAACAACAGTTAACTAATTAAACCAATACAAAACAATAATAATAACTTTGTTCATAATGATTTGACTAATCAATTACCAAAGGCTGTAATGCCAAAATTAAGTAAAATTAAATATTTTTTAAATAATTTATCAGAATAAAAATTTTAATTCTAAAATAAAGGTTTCGCTGATATACGATATCTGTTCGATATGCGTTATATCCGAATACGAATTAGAACTTTTTAAACGGAAAATTATCATCCAAAGATATCATATTTAATAAAGCATATATATATATTTATATACAGAGATAAAACGTGAATAAAACTCGTTATCTAATTTGTTCAATAACAAATTTTGTTTTTTATATTTCCTTATTTATAAAAAAGTTATAGTTGTATAATATTTAGCGTTATATAATTAGTTGTTTTGAAAGTGACTGATCCATATATAAATGCTGCAACCATATCAATGCAGCAACTAAAAAACTATTGTCTGAACGTAACGTTGTGTGTATCATCACATTAATGATGTTGTGAAATTGTATTGAATATACAATTAAATTGTAAACAGAATACAATAAATTGGTATTAGTTTCCAGTTAATTGTTGTACTTTAAAAATGTGACATGTGGTTTTTTAATTCTATATTTATGCAATTAAATATTCATATGAACACATATATATGTATGAGTAAATGTACGTACAATTAATATTAGATATGTGAATGGAATAATTACTTGTTTTGAACAATCTAAATAAATACAAAGCGACAATTTAACACTGCTTATGCAACGAAGGCTATAATATCATTTAAATACAAATACGTATAAATATATATTAGCATTTCCAATTTCTATTATATTTGAAAAAAGTAGATTTTACAAGGACTGACCAGCTATGTTCATGAACTTAGAATATAGCAATCTACTCCGGTGATATGCGACGACCATTCATTTTTTTCTATTATTTTGAAATTAAAAAATAACAATCAATATAAATCTGTCTGAGCTTATAGAATAATTTGGCTGTTCATAGAAAAATATGTATGTTAATATATTCACATCGCATTACACTTACAAGTGATTTAATGTTTTCAAAAAATTTATAGGTAATGAATTGCTATTTCTGCAATACTAGGCAATAAGAAACTATCCCCTTAGTTTAATTTTTAATTCATAATAAACTGTAATTAATGTTTGATATATTCCGGTTGAGTTTGGTACCAAACTTACAAGAGAGCTCTCAAATTACATCTTTTGCCAATTATTTCACATTTTGGGATATCTCTTCAATTTAATTTTAATTAAATATATAACAGATGATTACTATATATTTCCATTATTTTATTATAAAGGTTTTTATGCTTTTAAACATAACACAGCGATGTTTTGTAGTCATACTTCTAGTTATACCAACAAATATTTTTCATGTTTAAGTCGTTGATACTTCTCGTACTTCAATCTTTCGAAACTTTTAATTATTATTATTGATAAGATAAAACAAAATCAGTTTTAGACACACTACTCTTGCTTTCAATAACACAACAAAGTGAAGGCGCATGTTAAAAATTAAAGCAAGCATACATTGGGCAGAAGCTTCAAAACTCTAATGTTGCCACATGACATTTTAACATATCTGTTATCATAGAACACTTCTTAAAGGAACGACATTCTTCGTAAATTTAAGCTTAATCATACTGTCATATCATATTCCCACCGCAATTAAATGAACTTATATTAATGAAATTAAGATGTGTTCGTTTCATTAAAAAAAGTTGATTTGGTATATTTGAAAGTTTGAGGAAAGCTTTTGTTTGTTTAATTTTCAATTGTCAGCAGATGATATATTGTTGTGCATTATTAACACTAATTGTTATTTAATTGATCATGGAAAAAGCGAAAAATGCAAAAAAATTTGGATATAATGTTTAAAAAATTGTTCATCACATCAAAAAAGCAAGACGTACATATGGAAAATTGGATTTATAAGTGTATTAAAAAATAATCGAATGATTATTGAAAAAAGCACTTTACATTACTTTCCGCAATTTCGGGATAATGCTGATTTCATGTTAGTATGGGTAGTGAATGTGATTAGATAATGTGTAATATTTAAAATCTTTAAAAAGAAAGTGTAAAAAAAACAAACACTTTACAAAATACTTTCCTTGTTTATTCATATTTTTTTCATATGTCAAATAAATCAAATTTCGATAACTTCTCTTGTGGGAAATATATTTTCCAATATGGTATTTGACATATCCCTTTATTAAATCTTAACTAATTTAAAAAGCACAAAAATTCTTTGTTTGCCTAATCATCTTCATTATAACTATGTTCAAAAACATCTTAATTTCCCAAAAATCTTTATATCGTCCTTATTTCAGTGAAATTAATTTACTGAATTTTTTACATATAAAATTTAGTTTTAAGGTCAGAACGAAACTAAGGAAAATGGCTCTAATTTCGTTGAAACGAAGTCTGAAATTAATAAAAATTTCAAATGCAACTAAGTGAAAGATAAATTATAAGCAAAAGATAAATTGAGATAACGAAAAAGTGACATTTATGTTTAAAAGCAGCTGATTAATTAAAAACCGGGAAAATATTTTGAAAGTAGTGGAAATTTTTAAATTTGAATATAGAGAAAAAATTGTAATTGTTAAAATAGGGTGAAAAATAATAATCCACATTCCTGAAATCTAATAAAGCTATTGAAATTACTGAATGCCATGCTTTATAATAATAATAATCAACTTTAAAAATTTCGCAAACTCAAATGGTGTTTTGAGCATATAATTTTTAGTATTCAATTTATACGCAAAAAATATGTGATTTGCTTAATGTGGAGCAGTACGAATACTTTCCAAATAAAAAAATTTAAGAAAATTTGTCTATCTGAACATAGTATTAGTGACCTAATTTAAATAAACGGCTTTAATGAAGGCAATGGATACATACTCTTACACTATACTTTACATACCATAATTTTCTATGACATTCATAATAGTACTAGTACCTATGGTAGCAGCATAGATAAAATAATCATACAGATGTCGAACGTAGTACATATTACATATGTGCAGTGATTAGCTCATATTTAAACTGAATTAGTTGTCGCAGACGTAGCAAAAGTAATACTGCATGCACACGAGAGTTTTGAATTGAATTTTAACTATCATTTCGAATTATTCTTCATATCGACAGCAAAGCAAGTTGAAATCAGGAGGATTTTTATAAGCATTTTAACAGCTGAAAATAGAATTGAATCGTAATATCTACAAAATCAAGTTTATTTTAACTTCGATTATTCACCACAATACAGTATTTTGCAGTGCCAACTTGTGCCATAGTGAATAGTTTTGAAGAATGAATGAAATTTTCATACAAAATGAATCAAAACTATGATTTATCGTATGTATACATCATATGTGCAAAGCATATGTTTTATGAAAGTAGTTAAAAAGAGTGGAACCAAACGGCAGAACGATAAAAAAGTGACAGAAAAAAGTAACTCATCTTGTGTACTTAGTTGTTATTTGAATTCACTAACGAAATTTTTGGTGCAATTGGCGCAAGTTGAAATTTTTTTATTTTATAAGTGCTATGTAGCTAACAAGTAAATATTTGGGTTGGAAGCAACAACAACAATTAAGGCACATTCTGCAAGTGTTTTGTTAAAATTATCTTAGATGCTATGCATAGTAATAACTTTGTTTTATTAGTTGTCGATTTCAGTAGCTCGAGTGAGTCCCGTCCTTCCTATTGCCAATTATTCAGAAAATAACAACAGGTGACTAATTGCAAATAAACTTATTGATAGAATTTACTCTGGTGTCATACCACTACTGTACTTTTCTATACCATCTTTATAACGTAAATTTTACTTAATGCAATTCGATTACTTTTTATAAAAAATGTTTTCAAAAGATATAATTAATTTACCTTTAAATAAAGATTCTTCGTGTTTTTCCACATCGCATTATAAGTTAGATAGTTAAAGTGGACGGAAAAACGAATCCTCCTCAATTAGCTAAGAAAGCCGTTTTGAATTCACAATTTCTCGTAATAGTGGATAGAAGAAGGTCGAACTAGAACTAGCCAGAAGCATTTATAAAGGCAAAGGTCTGGCTAATGTTAATACTGGAGATATCGCTGAGTGTATTAATGAGGGGGTCCCCCAAAAACCTGTGCTTAGTTCTGGGCAGGCCTGGACATAAACAAAACAGGTGTTCTGGTGTCCTGGTAGACATACGTTACAGTCTGCATGAAATATTGAGGTCAGACCCATCGGTACAGATCGCTATTTTTCCTAGCGTTGTAAGCAGCCCTGTCTATCATTCTCCTCTTGAAGGATATCTAGTGGCAAAGTTACAGTCGAACTGTAAGCGAGGACGTAAGTAGTCCGATTCAATACTCCGATCCATCGGATAGATCGATATAATGTTACTATGTCTAAATGCAATCGAGCGCTGATAGTTATATATAGCCAGAGAATCACATTAGGCTGTAATCTCCAGCTCTTATCATACATCTTTTTACACACACATAAGGCCACGCACGCTTTGCGAGTTCTTTATCGTCGTTTGGCCTCCAGTTAAGCTTTGTGTCAAGAATTACATCTAGATACTTACTTTTGTGCAAAAGAGCTAGTTTTTGGCTGTTCAGCCTTGGCAATATAAAGTTTGGAGTTTTGTATTTGTTGGTAAATAGAAACACTTCTGTCTTAGAAGGGTTTATGCCTACATTACCCTTTGACGACAATTTACTAAGATTCTGATATGTGACCCCCTGAATGGTCTCCACACTGACGTTATTAAAAGCTCCTTGTATTAGACATACAAAAGAGCGACTAAAGAAATTATTTGTATCCTAAAAACTTTTCCACAACGGTTACTACCTAGTGCAGAAGATAAGCATGCTGACAGCTCGATAAGTTCACGAAACTTGGTGTCAATCTGACATGAGCACTAATCAATCTTCTTATAGTCTTAAGCAAAAATGAAGTAAGACTAATAAGCCTGTAGTCCTTTTCCGTACGGTAACATGTCTTTGGAATAAACACTACTCTAACATGTCTCCAGGAAGGAGCTTTGTAGATGATTGAGTGAAAGGCAGCTGCAGAAAATCGTAGAGAGCTAATTTACAGCTACATCTCCCAGAGATTGTAACATGATTGGTAAGAGCCCATCGGGACCAAAACTTTTGAATGGGGAGAAGGAGTCGATTGCTATTTTGATCCTTCTTAAGGATACCACTGAATGTACAGTTTGACCAGAGTCAGCTAAACGATAGTTTAGGTAGTACCTTCAGAGAATTGATAGAAGGGCCGGGATAATGGGTATCTATTAATTGTGAAAAAGTTCAGTTAATGATTAAACTGGACTTCCATCAGCTTTATTAATGAGGGAGAGGCATTTAATACTTTTATTTGCAGCAATGAGAATTCCATGTCACTTTCTTGGATTCCAGTAGTGCCTTTTTGGAAACCTTTACAGCATTCCTATACGGAGACCACACCTTGGTACGATAGCTTTTGTTAAAAGCTTTTCATGCATTCTTGCGGAGCAAAAAGAGCTTCTCGCTTCACTATGGGGGCCTATATTTTTTTACATAAAACCGAGGTAACGATGCTTTAAAAGAAGATAAAATGTGCTCTTGAATCACCTAATCGAGAGTGTACTAAAATATCCCAATTTGCTTTCCTAGGATTACGTTAAAACTGTTTATCTAATATGGGAATATCCATTTTCAACTTACCCTTAATACTGAGACTTATAATTTAGAGCGTTAGCATGTGGTTTGTATTCGGTCTACTACGACTGATAGACAAAATGCTGTTCGAAGTTTTGGTTGATAAAGGACAATACCGAAAGAGTCCATATTCGTAGCATAATCGTCTTCTTATCCGACAAGACTGGCACAGCGGTCCCGATTAAAATTGAACGAAAAAAGTGACCACCATAGCAGCGTCCCATATAATGGGTACAACATACTTACTTCCCAAGGTGGAGTGTATTGGAGAGACTCCGCAAAGATACAGTTAGACAGATCTCTTGACTGCACACCTATGCCTGATGAGCACGGTTAGTGTAACGCCTCCGGGTTTAGGGGACCTTCATATCTTCATCAAAAAGTATTTGGTGATATGTAGCTATTGAGAAGCTAAGGACACTTACTCAATTTTTTCTGTTCTTAGCTGGGTACCACCCTGACAACGTGCAGAATGAGAACATTGTGTGACCAATTTCAAGACGACTCCCTAGTAATGTTATGTCCTTTATTTTATTTCAATTGATTACATGACTCACTTACATGAAAGATATTACATTACACAATGCGATCTTCTCAGCCACCATGGATGCCGTGAAAACTGTTCGCGAGGTGTTCGAGAGCGATTGGATCTGCGGCTCACATGTTGCATTTTGATATATATTTATGAATACCTTCGAAGATTGATGTAGATTTACTTTGATTCTGTGATTCTCATCTAATAATTTACTAGTCTGTTTGATTGGTCTTACGTTACCTCGCAGCGATGTATGTAAT